TATGCAGTGTTGTGGAAAACTTCTTTCGGATTCATTTGAGACATATTAAACTTTTTAAAGATCTTTAAATCCTGAGTTTGAGCGCAAATTCGACGTTCAAAACTCCTACATTGTAGGGAAAATGTAGGAAAATGTAGGGAAAATGTAGGGAAAATGTAGGAAAATGTAGGGAAATAGTAGGGAAAATGTAGGAAAATGTAGGGAAAATGTAGGGAAAGTGTTAGAAAGAAAAAGATTGTATAGTTGACCTACAAATTTAAATAAATCTGAAGTTTGAAGGTTAAAACTAGAGGATTGTGGGATGTGTGGTTATGAACTATCTCTAATTTTCAAAAAAAAAATACAGAATCATAAGATTTTTCAGACTGTTGAATCCGCCACTGTTATTCCTTCATCCTCCTCATCATCATCTTCAATATCGTCGTCAATTACATCAGATCCGGTGACGTCACACTCCAGTAGTTCTGCTGTGGACAGGTGTCCTGCAATGCCAAGCACAATCATTTCATATTTTCTATCAATAGATTTGGATAAAATCGGGCTTCTTAATTTTGTTATAAAAGGAAACTGCCGACTCATTTTTGTAAAGTCCTATTAATAATTCACAAAAATTTCCATTTCCATTCAATGAAATTTCATATTAGTTTCATCAATTGTTTTTATGCTGCAGTGGTCGGTGTTTATATTAATACAATGAAGACGAATTATCTATCTAAGTTTTATTTCTAATGAGCTGTGTTTAAATTACAAGCTTACAGGTAAACACAGAGAATTGAATTGACAGCTTCTCTTGTTTTCCATTTTGTTTTATATACATTCATGCTATTTGAAAGCTTGGTAGAAATTAAAATCATTTTATTGATATATACGACTTTATATAAAAAGATGATAAAGGCCTGAACATGTTTTAATTTGTTCATTAACGATAAAGTATTTTTAATATTTAATAATTGATTAAAAAATATTGTGAATCATTGATAAAACAGAAAAATTAGATATTTCCTAAATTCTTTATGAATCTTAATGAAAAAAAAAACAATGTTTGAGTTTGATTCCTGATCTATTCTGTTCTCTACGTTCCTTACTCTCCTGGTGTCTCCACTTCATCCTTCTGTTCTGGAACCATACTTTTACCTAGACATGGAGATAATATAAACCAATCCTTCACCTAGACATGGAGATAATATAAACTATCTATCTATCAATCTATCTATCAATATCTTTGACATGTTCATTTAAGAACTGTGCACAAGCCAAGCNACATGGAGATAATATAAACCAATCCTTCACCTAGACATGGAGATAATATAAACCAATCCTTCACCTAGACATGGAGATAATATAAACCAATCCTTCACCTAGACATGGAGATAATATAAACCAATCCTTCACCTAGACATGGAGATAATATAAACCAATCCTTCACCTATACATGGAGATAATATAAACTATCTATCTATCAATCTATCTATCAATCTATCTATCAATCTATCTATCAATCTATTTATCTATCTATCTATCTATCTCTCTATCTATATATCTATATTCCTATATATATGTTTATCTATCTATCCATCTACCTATCTATCTATCTATCTATCTATATATCTATCTATCTATCAATCTATCTATCTATATATCTATCTATCTATCTATCTATATATCTATTTATCTATCTATATATCTATCTATATATCTATATTCCTATATATCTATTTATATATCTATCTATCTATCTATCTATCTATCTATCTATCTATCTATATATCTATCTATATATCTATATTCCTATATATCTATTTATCTATCTATCTATCTACCTGAGCATCTGTTAGGCCCAGACTGGCCGCCAGCTGCCGCCGGTCTGGCTGAAAAGTATAAAATAAAGTTTAAATTAATTTGCTGAAACAGCAAAATTGAATGCATTGTTAAACTACAGGGTTTTACACAAAGAATAAGACTTTAGACTTAACTATTACATCAGTGCGGAACACAGTGTTACAAAGTTGCAGGTTCTAACTACAGCTTGATCGATTTAACATTTTGACAATTTCTTCATCAAAACTAAAGCTCTAAAATGTCATTGTCCAGGGCTACAAGAAAGAAGAAGGAAGTTAGTGAGAAGAACGTCCAAGGTATGTCAATCCTTTATAGTCAACCCAGTCTTAAAGGGAGTGACCGACAACATTTGAGACATATTAAACTTTCAAAAGATCTGAACAACCTGAGTTTGAGCGCAAATTCGACGTTCAAAACTCCTACTTTGGGGTGGATATTAGTTTTTTTAAATTATCCCGCCAGGGAAAATGTAGGAAAATGTAGGGAAAATGTAGGGAAAATGTAGGAAAATGTAGGGAAATAGTAGGGAAAATGTAGGAAAATGTAGGGAAAATGTCCGTTTCTCTAAACCTAAAATATAAAGAAATTAAATTAAACCAGACAGCAGGAGAAGGTAACATTTACTGGTACAACTTTACAACCTCGTAGATCTTCTAGTTTTGATTATACGCGGGCACATGAATGAGGAAAGCAAATTTATTTGATTATATTTTAGAAATTTAGAAATATTTTTGTTCTTATCAAAACCTCAATAAGCGGAGTTATGGTAAAAAACATCTGAGCATTTATTGTAGCGTGAATTTTACTTTAATTTCACGTAGCATGGGCAGCCGTAGTACATTTGAATTTCCGAGCCGGGTCAACCTTTCTGGTCCCAGTTTGTGCTGTACCGCACGAATATTGGGTTAATAAAGGAAGACAATCAACAGGACTAGCCGGTGCAACAAGATTGACGCGGTCAGACTTTATTCTACATTTCTACATACATGTTGAATTTACTTTTACTAAAGGGGCAGAGGTTCTTGGTCTGGGAGGGAACGAGCCTGTTTCTCTATGACATGCATCTCCAAAAGATAAGTTTTGTTAAATTAACCAGTTCTCCCTATACATAAAAGTGTATCTGTAATCTGCATACTTTGTAACAAAACCTTGTTTTCTTACTCTTGATGAAAAGAGAATCTAGAGGAGTTACGAGGTCTTAAAGTCATAGCAGAAATTTTGCACTAAACTAGGTCTTTATCTTTATCGGAGCCTCTAGCTCCGCTTAATATTTTTCTTAGCATTTTTTTTTAAAGAAGTGATTGGTTAATCCATAATTTTATCTAATCGGTTTTAAAAACTAAGTACTAATTTTCTCTAAATAATTTAAAGGAAATAATGAAGAAAATTAATACTCACCACAAAATATGATTTTTAAATGACTATATCTTAGCAACCTCATGTCGATGTCGATATTAAGAATTGTGATATTTGTATATGTCAAAGGTTTACACACCCCACTCGGGCCACTCCGATCCGAGCCGGTAAAACATCAAATGTAAAACATTCAGTCGTACTGTCCAGTCAATTCAGCATGTTTTAGGCAACAAATGTAGCAAGATCACAGTGTACACCATCAGATTGCGAGGATATAGGGATTAAAAAATTCAAGTTTATGACGTGTGTTCAGTTTCTTTGTCAAATCTGGGATTTATGTTGTCACCTTTCCTTTGGAGATTTGAAAATACTGCTCTCGTCCAGGATTTTTTCCTTTTCCCGGCTCCAAACCCTAATCCTAAATAAAAGTCAATCCAAACCCTAATCCTAAATAAAACTCAATCCAAACCCTAATCCTAAATAAAAGTTAATCCAAACCCTAATCCTAAATAAAAATCAATCCAAAGCCTAAACCTAAATGAAAATCAATCCAAACCCTAACCCTTAATAAAAATCAATTCAAACCGTAATCATAAATAAAAATCAATCCAAACCCTAATCCAAAATAAAGCTCAATCCAAACCCTAATCCTAAATAAAAGTCAATCCAAACCATAATCCTAAATAAAAGTTAATCCAACCCTAAGCCTAAATAAAAATCAATCCAAACCCTAATCCTAAATAGAAATCAATCCAAAGCCTAAACCTAAATGAAAATCAATCCAAACCCTAACCCTTAATAAAAATCAATTCAAACCGTAATCATAAATAAAAATCAATCCAAACCCTAATCCTTAATAAAAATTAATCCAAACCCTAATCCTAAATAAAAGTCAATCCAAACCATAATTCTAAATAAAAGTTCATCCAGACCCTAAGCCTGAATAAAGATCAATCCAAACCCTAAGCCTAAATAAAACGCAATCCAAACCAGAATTTTTTAATTAAATCGATAATTGTTATCCCGCAAATATAAAACAAAGTACCCATTTATTCAGAGCAGGGTCGACCAAATCCGATAATTTTTTAACCTTGTAAATTACCTAACGTCCTAGAGACACTGTGAAATACACTTTATTATGATCGGATAATAATTAAGCCTATGAGAGAAAAAAGTAGTATATTTAATGTCCTGTCCATGAAATGTCCTGTCTATGAAATATCCTGTCTATGAAAATGAAATATCCTGACCATGAAATATCCAGTCCATGAAATGTCCTGTCTATGAAATGTCCTGNGGGAGGGATGAGATCTGAAGAGGGATGGTTCTGAACAAGGGACGGATGAGGGAGGGAAGAATAGGGATGGAAGATATGGATGAGGAGGCAGATGGTGATCCCTTGACAAAACAAAATTTACAATTACAGAAAATCTTTGACTATAATTCAATTTTGAATGTTTCAAAATTTTTACTAAATCCATGATTTTTTGAATAATTTCTAGCGCAAAATGTAGAAAACACTAAATTTTTGAAACAAAAACAAATTAAATAAATTAATTTTGATTTATAAAATGTTTGTTTTGGTCCCTGAATGGATAATGTAGGGGGGGTCCGGGTGAGGGTGAGGGGGACGAGGGAGGAGACTCGTCTAAAAATAAGACATTTAAAAAAATAGAAAATTTAAACTTAATATTATATAAAATATTGGTTTTCAGATTTAAAATTCTGAAGGCAAACTTTGTAATGTTTATAATCTAGTTTTCTTAGTGTTGAAGATTGTCTTCCATGCATTAAGTCACCATAATTTTCAGTAGAAGTAAATATTTCCATTTACTGATAGCGCTGATTAAAGGATTCATAACTCTAATTGGATAATGAGATAGATAGAAAGATAGATGTTACCGCCATGCAATTTCTATTGGTTCAGAATAGACAACAAACACATGACTGAACCCTGATTGGATCAGGCGCTTATGGACTCGGCGTACAGGAGTGAAGTATATAATGTGCAAACTGTAAAACTAAAATCATAACTTTTGTTTTGTGAATCTAGCGATTAAACATTGATATTTGAACTTTGTAAGTCTGGTTAAACTACTGGATTGAGATGCATATCGTTAAAAGAAGTTAAACTAACAGTGCTTAGTTCAAATACCTTTCTCTCTATTCATAAATTCATAGTTTAGGGAAAAGAAAACAAATTTCAGAGAAATCTAAAACGTTTTATACATTCATGTTTGTTTAAATATTAGACAAATATCTAGATAATAAAGTTGCATAAAATTTACTCAGACTACTTTAAACATATTTTTATGTAAAATCTAGTTTTTCAATTAAATTTTTTTGTATTTTTTAAGAAATAACCTTGAAAAGAGTGCGAGCTGGGATTCGGCTCCTGTTTTGTAAGTTGACCGAATGAGCTGGTTTGTTGACTAGATGAAACCGGTTTTCTGTACAGCTGATCGTGGACTGAACTTGGTTCGGAGATTTCGGTTTTAATCCTAGTTTCGTGGGTTCTAAACACATTTATTATGATGAAACCAATATTATAAATTATCAAGTGGCCGGCGTTGCCCGTGCAAAAAAAATCGAATTTTCAAACAAAAATTTAGATTTTTAAAAAAGCTAACATTTATACATACATCTATACATGTAAATACAAATATATATATATTTTTTATTATATAGTTAACGTGGACAATTTTTGAGCCGGTAATTTTTTTCTTCAGAACGAATATCAGTATTTTTTGTTCTTTTTTGATAAAAATTTAGAGGTTCAGAGACCCATAAACCTATGTAATAGGAAGACGACAATTAAGCACTCTTACATGATCATTTTTTGGATGTTTTTTTTTAGAAAATACTTTTACCAGTAGTAGCTTAAAAATCAACCTTTTAAGTAAAAAGGATCTGTTTACACTGCACAATGGCTGAATTTAATGTTTTTTGGACCATTTAAAATCATAAATTGAGTCTAAAAGTCGTCTTCTTATTCCACAGTTTTATTTGTCCCAATGAAATTAGTTTTCTTGATTTCACTGTTTCCAACGTAGATGAACGTTTAATACGAGCACTATAATATTATTATGATTTATGTTTTGTATATGTAAAAACCAAGCCAGTAAGCAGTTTTTTTTCTGCAAAATATTTTTTCTTAAAAATGTATTCATCCCTTAGATCACAGGGCAGAGTTTCTTGCATTCCGGAGAGGATTTGATCTACTCCGAACTTAAGCTTGGTTCGACCCGTCCTTGTAACTTCAGGTACTCCTGGATACTCCAGCCTTGCTCTAGGGTCTTCCAGGGGAAACGGGTCTTTCGAGGGAATGGGAAATTCTCGGGATAAATTCATTTCATTCAATTAATGATTTTAAGAAACACTGTGAAACAGGCAATCTCAGGTCATTTTAACTCAACTGAAAAAAATGTTTAATACACCAGGTTGCAAAGATATAAAGATAAGAAAACTGTGGCAAGTATCGGTTCCTTTCTTGTCTCGCGGAAATTTTTACATATCTTGGTTTCAATGTGAGCCTTCACTTTTGAAAACAATTTCATCACTTTTAATTAGATTTTTTGTATTTTAGCTTTTTCATTTTTTGTTGGGCTTCACTCCATAATTTTTAAAGTGTATAAGATTCATTACTCTTTATTTGATAATTTTTCAAATTTCAGACCAAAGTCACAAACTTGATTGGAATATTAATTATGGACCGGGCATACTCAGCCTAAAGTTAGTTTCATGTAATTTATTTTTTAACTAAATTTATTACTTGAATTTTCACAAATCTCTCACTGTGAACTAGCAGAAGGAAAAAGGTCAAATTTATGCAACGTTAATGGTACGACTTTGCAATAATTAACTTCAGTTTTACGTGCTTTATTGTGAGGTAAAGGATGCAAGTTTTTACGCCAAATTTTATGAGAACTTTGCCAATTACTTCTTAAAGACTTTCGTTAAAAAAAGTGCTTTAATGTTTTAAATGTTTATGTTTAGGGTTACAAAAAGGCATAATTGAGTTAGAACTGACTTTGATGTCTAAAAAATTATTGCAACATTTCATCATGACTGAATATATCTATGCATGCATGCTTCTGAAAACTAAGTCTTCCCATAAAGGTTCGTGACTACACGGAAACTGATCCGACCTTTCCTTCCACATGTGCCCTTCTGCCTAGACACCCATACCTTCCCCCGCCCATATGCATTCTCTCAAAATCATCTCTTCTCATTGGTCGCTGAATTCACCGCCAGAGTCTCCTATTGGCTGGACAAGAACATAAGGTTTTATGTAGGGTTGGCGGCATATAAATCTGTTTACATATACAGTAAATGATTTGATATAAAACTATTCAATTACAGATAAAATGTATTAAATAGCAATAAACTACTCGCATAGCAGGCATCATATAAAACAACATTGGATAACAACACGATTTCGAAGTAATGTAAAGAAACGGGGGGGGGGGNAGAGAAGAATTATTAGGATCGAGAAGAATTATAGAGAGGAGAACAAGATGAGAACTAGAGGAGAACTAGTGGAGAACTAGAGGAGAACTAAAGAATAATTAGAGGAGAACTGGAGGTAAACTAGAGAAGGACTAGCTAGGGGAGAACTAGAGAAGAACTAGAGAGGAGAACTAGATCTGAGGAGAATTAGAGAAGAACTAGAGGAGAACTAGAGGAGAACTAGAGGAGAACTAGAGTAGAACTAGAAGAGAACTAGAAGTGAACTAGAGAAGAACTAGAGAAGAACTAGTCGAGAACTAGAGGAGAACTAGAGAATAACTAGAAGAGAATTAGAAGTGAACTAGAGAAGAACTAGAGAAGAATTAAAGGAGAACTAGAGAAGAACTAGAGAAGAACTAGAAGAAAACTAGAGAAAAACTAGAGAAGAACTAGAAAATAACTAGAGGAGAACTCGAGGAGAACAACTAGAGGAAAACTATTAAAGAACTATAGGAGAACTAGAGAAGTAGTAGAGGAGAACTAGAAGAAAAATAGAGGAGAACTAGAGAAGACTTAGAAGAGAACTAAGGAGAACTCGAGAGAAGAACTAGAGTAGAACTAGAGGAGAACTGGAGGAGAACTAGAGGAGAACTAGAGAATGAACTATAGGAGAACCCTAGAAGAACTAGAGGAGAACTAAAAGAGAACTATAAGAAGAACTAGAGAAAAACTAGAGAAAAACGAGAGGAGAACTAGAGTTGAACTAGGAAAGAACTAAAGTAGAAATATAAGGAGAACTAGATCGTAGAACTAGAAGAGAACAGAAGACAACTAGAGGAAAAATAGAGGAGTCGAACTAGTGGAGAACTAGAGAAGAACAATACAGGAGAACTATAGAAGAAATAAAGTAGAACTAGAGGATAACTACGGGAGAACTAGAGGAGAACTAGAGAAGAACTAGAGGAGAACTAGAGAAGAACTAGAAGAAGAACTAGAGAAGAACTAGAAGAGAACTAAAGGAGAACTATAAGAAGAACTAAAGAAGAACTAGAAAGGAACTAGAGGAGAACTGGACTTGAACTAGGAGAGAACTGAAGAAGAACTATAAGGAAAACTGGAGTAGAACTAAAGGAGAAGTAGAGAAGTCTTAGAAGAGAACTAAGGAGAACGAGAGAAGAACTAGAGGAAAACTAGAGGAGAACTAGAGGAGAACTATAGGAGAACTAGAGTAGAACTAGAGGAGAACTAGAGGAGAACTAGATGAGAACTATAGAAAAACTATAGAAGAACTAGAGGAGAACTAGAGGAGAACTAGATGAGAACGAAAGGAGAACTAAAGGAGAACTGGAGGAGAACTAGAGGAGAACTAGAGGAAAACTAGAAGAGAACTAGAGGATAACTACGTGAGAACTAGAGGAGAACGAAAGAAGAACTATAGTATAACTAGAGGAGAACTAGAGGAGAACTAGAGGAGAACTAGAGGAGAACTAAAGGAGGACTATAGAGGAGAACTAGAGAAGAACTGGAGGAGAACTTGAGGAGAACTAGAGGAGAACTAGAAGAGAACTAGAGGATAACTACGTGAGAACTAGAGGAGAACGAAAGAAGAACTATAGTATAACTAGAGGAGAACTAGAGGAGAACTAGGGGAGAACTATAGAAGAACTAGAGGAGAACTAAAGGAGGACTATAGAGGAGAACTAGAGAAGAACTGGAGGAGAACTTGAGAAGAACTAAAGGAGAGCTAGATGAGAACTAGAAGAGAACTAGAGGATAACTACGTGAGAACTAGAGGAGAACTAAAGAAGAACATAGTAAACTAGAGGAGAACTAGAGGAGAACTAAAGGAGAACTATAGAGGATACCTAGAGGAGAACTATAGAGGAGAACTAGAGGAGAACTATAGAGGAGAATTAGAGGAGAACTAGAGAAGAATTAGAGGAGAATTAATCTGTTAAGTTTTAGATATTAATTAATCTTATAAATTTAAGATACAGGGTGTCCCACGAAACATGACATGAATTTCGTCTTTGATCTAAAAATAAATTTCTTCTTTTAATTATTAACTTAAGTAACATTCTAGAGTTATTAATAACAAACAGGGGCGGATACAGGATTTAAGTGAGGGGTGGGGGGCAAGATTTTTTAGGAACAAAAAATTCATAATTAGGAACAAAAAATCGCGCCACAGGTGAAAATTTTTTTTTACTTAAAACACTTAAAAAGACTAAAGAGTCAAAATTAATGACTAAAGACTAAAAAACTAGATTTTAAACTTTTCATACATTATAGTTTATTAAGACAGATATTTTTCCTGTTTTGCATTAGGGTTTCGTTCCCTGAAGCATGATTGAAAAGCTATTCTGAAAATAGGAACAAAAAATTCCAAATTCAGGGGGGGGCAAATGTCCCCCCGCCCCCACCCTGTATTCGGCCCTTGATAACAAAACACCTCTAGTCTAAGATTTCGACATGGTTTATCTAATAAAGTTGAAATCTGAACGAAATTCTTAATATCTCCTGTAATATTTACAGCACAAAATAGACAGACAAGGTTTTTGAAGTTCCAGGACTTTAGTGTATATTGTGGTTATTGTTATACTTCTTTATATAAAATAGGATATATTTAAAATTAATTATCTATGATTTTTATTTCTAAAAGTTGTTAGATCATCGTCGAAAAATACTAACAATCCACCAACAGTCATATTAAATCATGTAATGTAAAAAATAATTATGTAACTTGCCTTCGCACAATTCCTCCATTTTTGAAGGTTTATAAATATTATGAATAAATCATTACTTTTTAATGCCGTCCCTTGGCACGCATTGTGCCCCCCCCCCCTCCCTTAAAAAACTTTTTTGAAAAATTATTTGGCCTTTCTAACTATGTTAAGGTAAACTATTTGATCAAATACACACTTCCATATTACAAGTGTTAATATATATTATTTATGTAATTTTCTTAAGTTGACTAGGTACACTTTGATACCTATACTATGGTGTAAGCTTCAAGGGGTAAAAAATAGAGATGGAAACGTTTCTTTAAAGATAGCTATATATCTTCATAGGATTTATTACATAAAATACTGATATAAAATCTATATTTACACTGAAGGCAGTATTGATTAAAGTATTTTAATGAAACTTTTTTAGTTTAAGGCAAAAGGGACATTTTAAAGTATTTAATGCAATACTTGATCAGATAAATCAGAATTGAATTTATGTCTGCAGTCACAAACTTCTCAATATTAATTAAAAATGCTTTGTAGAAAATGTGAACTTAAAAAAAATGTAAAAGAAATTTACAAAATGATTTTTAAAAAAAGATAATGACAAGTTTTAAAAGTACTGCCTCCAAAATCAAGAATACCAGGTCAAGAATTCACTCAGAATCCAGATGTAATATTAAATGAGCCCCCCCCCCCCTTGTACTTACTTCCTTATGGCTGAATTCCGCGTAGAGCTTCAAATCAATAACTGCGTAGAGTTTACAGGAGGTTTAGGCCGCAGTTCAGCAGAGCCGTCTACAAAACCAGTTTTATCATCACAATTGGCGCAATTTTCCGTTGTATTTTCTCAGCTGTACAAAATCAATAATATTTGTTAAATTGTGAATTAAGATGCCTTTTTTGAACATCTGGAGTTTAGAAATTACTTCCAAACTTCTTGTACATGTTTGAAAACATGATAATGATGAAAAAGAATCGTCAAATGGTTTAAAATATAAATTCATACTTCAATGGTTAAACTAGATTTTCTCTTGGTCCAATCCTGTCATATAGTGCAAGTGATCGTTTTTTCTAGTTCCTTTCCTTAGAATTAATGATTTTCATTTTGGTTATTTTCAGAATCAAAAATGGCTCAAGGTATGCTCAATCAAACGGATATTATTGAACTCCTAAGGTAAATTATAATTTAATCCAGTTTTTTTTGTAAGTTTAAGTCTTATAACGTTAACTCTTCTTTTTTAAATCATTAAAAATTTTTAATCTCTTTTTGATTATTCAGTTTTATTCAGTTTTGTAAAATATATTTTCATCTAGATTCATTTAAATTATTGCAATATTGATAAAATATATATATTTTATGTAGGTATGAGCGGAATCATGTTATGCTAGTTTTAGAACCCAGCGTTGCCCAGGGTACTTACAGCTATTCCCACTGTTTACCCACACTTACCTTTAATTACGATTTTTAACGGGTTAAATAGCTCTAACTGTAATTTACGACCAAGAGCGGGTATAAAACGGCGTGAGTAACTGTATGTACCCTGGGCAACGCCGGGTTCTAAAGCTAGTAGTAAATAAAGTAAATCCAACTCATTTATCTTATGAATCTAATTTTAGATGTTCTCTGTTCAATTTATAAAATATTATTTTCAGTGCTTCGAGTCTGTAGTTGTGAAGGGCAACATTGACAACATGCCGTGCATGCAGGCCTTCATCTCCAAGGTAAAGTTTACAAAAACTTGTGGTCTTCTCCTATATAAATCTTCAGCCTTAAGATATCACTTTCCATGACACATGAAAACTTTATAAAGCATAAAAATATCACATTATTGTCAAGTTTTTTAATGGTTGGTGGGCTTCCAAAAACCCAGAAAACATCAAAGAAATTAAAAAATTTAAAATTTCAATAATTGATTTAAAAACTGTATTTTGACGTAATTCTGATATCTTCACAAAATCACAATTGATAAGAAATTGTATTTTGAAAACAAAAGTCTTTAGACTCCTGAATTAAAAAATCCTTATGATGGAGCAAAAAGTAATAACTACTCTCTTATGTATTGATTTAATGCAACACACCACTTTCTTTTTGGAAATTTAGATTTTTTTTGTATTCAGGGATTGGGATTAGCTATTGTTGCCGGTAGTTCTCTTGTTAAATTCCCACAGGTAAAAATAACAAAATTTAAATTCTTAGGGGGCATTTATGTTCTTAATAAACCACCTCCCCCTTAGTTAATCGACCTTTACCCTTTTTTATTTGTCCAAGCAAAGTCATATGATATGATAATGTTAATGAATCTTCTTGGTTCAGCAGAACATGTGAGACAACGAATAGACTGACAAGACAATCCAATTGCAGTTTCAATTTAAATGTAAAGCAATTCAATTCTAACATAAGAAAAAACTCTTTTTCTGTGAGAGTGATAAACCCATGGAACAGTTTGCCAGACTATATTTAAGAGTCTAAAACCTTTAACATTTTCAAGAACAGTTACGATGATCATGTGAAAAATGTCGAGCATATATAGTGAAAAATATCAAGTTTAAGAATCGCTTTTTATTACCAAAAATGGTATCTAAGCGAAACCAGAACAATATAACAATATAATATAACAAACACAAAATGATTTGTTTAAAAAAGGCATTACAAATTTAAATCTTTTTATTTACCGGCCATGCCCTGAAAATAGAGAAAAATGAAGAAAAGTTTATTTTTGAAAATATGAAGAACATTTTAATCAACATTTTAGTCATCATAACTGGAACGCTTTTATAACATTTCACGGGGATCATTGTAACGGTATGTTAACTTAATTTTTGTAAAATTGAAAATTTTGATTTTATCTTGCAGCGTTTATTCTAAAAGAGAGAATTAAAACTTAATATATTTTATGTCAGGTGTTGAAGATAATGTTTGGAGGGTCAGCTGTTGGGATCAGTTTCTTGTCAGTCTTCCTCGAACTTCTGGCAATAACCTGCTCCGGTGTTTACAGGTAATTGATCTTATTGATGAAGTCCTTGATCCATCGTAGCGTAAGAGCACCGTGGCCGGGACAGACTTGGGGGCAAAGCACTACAGGAAAAGATCCAATTATTCCCTTTCTTTTTTCCAACGGTGGTTTTACCCCTAAATTGGGATTGTCCGTTTGCCGTTTGACTATCTTTCTATCTATCTATTATGAATTCCTGCCCCCACTAATGTCGTTTGGTCTTATTTCCGTGAATCCAAAATTTGCAGATTTCAACACCTTACACATTACTTTTAACTTTGATCACATTTTATTATTAATTTGTAGTTGGCCCCGATTCAAGTAGAACCAAATTAATGAATTTTTAACATTTAGTTTTGCCAGTGGGTTTCCCTTCAGTGCTTATGGAGAGTCAGTATTTCTAGCATTTCAGGTTAAAATGGAAAAAATACGTGATTATTAAATTATCTTATAATCAAAAATAATGTAATATTTCCTTTCTTCTTTTGATTGCAGGAGTTTGTATTTTCAAAAGTAAATTTCGTTGTCAAACTATAAAATCAGTTTTTTTCTTAATATCCGAACATGTTTGGGAAGAGATAAATTTGGAGAGGAAATGATGTTGGAATTCTCACAATCTTATTCCCTGAAGTTAGAAATTTTTTTTCGGAAACTCCGGACCAACCAAAGATCTACATATTATGCAAATCTAATTTCTCTTCAATATTCTGAGATGGATAAACCCTGCAGGGAAAACTTCAAAGTAGTGATCCTCAAATTAAAAGGGCCGACATTGGATATCGAGATCAAGTACTGAGAGTTAAGAATATCAAGTTCTAAAGGTCCGAGCTCTGATTTTTACTCCTATTGATGTTTAGACTGCTCTGATAGGAATACTAGTTCTATGGTACTCCTCTGGCAAGCTGATCAGCCTGCTGTTCATTATCCTGTACTCTGTTGCCGTATACCTAGCCCTGGACCCGGCTCTTGTACCCATCTCTATCCTTTGGTAAACAGATTTTTAGGGGTGTAGGGAGGAAATGAATTTAGAATATCTTGGGAAAAATAAAAAAGTTAAACCTTAAAAAAACATACCTAACAAAAATGATTTTCAAAGAGAGGCCAGAGGGGGGGGGGGAAACTGGAAACGATTTTTTTTAAAAAGGGGTGTGTTTTGTACAAGTGCACAATGACTCCCAACCTACAATATAATGATTTGATTTGAAGGTTTTACTTTGTTTTCGGTCTACAGAATAGTTCATTAAATAAATTTTAAATTATTTCGGAAAGAGACAGATCAGTTTACAACTTCGTTCAAGGAACCATAATTGTAAGAATGAATACTTTAAAAGAAATTCGTACAGTCGGTCTCTGAAGTCTCATTCTTGAGTTAGTCTGTACAATGTACATAGCTTCATTTAAAGAGATAATGTAAAAAAAGCATTACACTAATGAAAAATCGTGTGGGGAGGAAGCATGGTTTTCGGTATACCATAATTATTTTTTACATAATAATGATACTTTAGGTATGGACAAGCGGCAAATATTCCGATGATCCTCCTTGGCAAATTTATCCAGGTAAGTTTTATTTAAAACAACCGTAATTCGGATCACTTGGCGTCGGATTCATACCAAGAGTATTTGTTAGACATCTCTTATCATAATCGAAGGATATTTAGATACATTACATAAGGACATCGTAACATACATATTTAGAATTAGGAAATACTGAGTTTTAAAGATTCCTTTAGATTTCTTCCCACATTTCCACTTCTCTTCTGAAATTAACATTATTTTTATTATTTTTGTTTCCACCAGATCAGGGCAAACTTCAGCAACGGTCACACCGGTCAGCTTAGTGCTATCACATGCTTCCTCCTAGCCCTCGGAGCCATTGCCCGCATCTTTACCAGTATCCAGGTGGACTTTTTTTACCCTTGATTATGATTGATGAATTGATGATTGTATACATTGATTGATGAATTGATTGATAAATTGGTTTATGATATGATTAATGAATTTATTGATGAATTGATGATTGTATACATTGATTGATGAATTGACTGATAAATTGGTTTATGATATGGTTAATGAATTTATTGATTTATTGTTTTATTGATAAATTGATTGATGAATTGAATGATTAATTGATTGATGAAATGGTTGATAAAATGATTGATGAAATGATTGATGAAATGATTGATGAATTGATTTTTGAATTGATTGATAAAATAATTGCTGAACTGATTGATAAACTAAAAAAATGATTTATTGATAAGTTAATTTACTTATTAGTTGGTGATTAATTGATGGATGGATCAATTGGTAATTGTTTGATAACCTGAAAGATTGATTGGTTGGTTGGTTGATTGATTGATTGATTGATTGATTGATTGATTGATTGATTGATTGATTGATTGATTGATTGATTGATTGATTGATTGATTGATTGATTAATTGATTTAGGAGACTGGTGATCAGCTGGTTATCCTGACCTATATCTGCAGCTCCGCTGTCAACAGCATCATCGCTCTCCAGGTAGTATCTTATTCCACATATATATATATATACATATTCCATATATATAAATATATATAAAATATATAATATTTATATATAATATATATAATTCATAAGTTATGCATATCGTAAAGGAACTGATTACCGAATACTCGCCACTGAACAAATATCCTAACCCTTAAAACATAAAAACCTACGTCCTACACTTTTAAAATGATAAACTCTGAAAGATAAATTTTTTAGCTTAAATTATCAAATTTCGCAAAGCTATGGGGATTAGAAAATGACAAGAGTTTTTCGAGATTCTTTCATTTGGGAAGAACATTAAGTTAATTTACATCCTTTTTTTTATGAATGCTTTTGATTTGGTTTGAGGGGTTGTTTATAAAAAATACTCCTGCTGAAAATTTATCTAATAAACTAAAAATGTTTTTTTTTCTTCTTTATTTCAGGTTCTGTGGTACTGGAACGCTGATGCCACTCAGAAGAAGAAGGAAGCTTAGTTTGTCTACTGTAAGTAGGCCTGGTGTAGAGTTATCAAGGAAAATCCGGGAAAATCAGCTTCCAATGTACACTGTTAAGTGTACTGCACTTAATACTGATTTGCCGCATTTTCTGATTCACTTTCTCCACACGCTCGGTATAACAAATTATCTTGAACGAACCAAAAACCAATTGTACATCGTTTCGGCCACAATTTTTGCATTTGAAGGCATTGTAAACGTTATTTTAAGTGACCCTTCATGCAAAGAAGGCAATGTCCGATTTACAACAGTGTCCTAAAGTTAAAACCTTCTTTTGTGTACATTCTTAACTCAGTGCAGTGTACAACGGAGTTTGCATCTAATCATACAAGCAGGTTTCGAAACGTTTATACACATATCTCTGTACTCGACGAACACACAAAGGTTTTAAGAGTACCAAGGGTACCGTTGTAAATCGGGCATTGCCCTCTTTGTATGGAGGGTCACTTAAAATTACGCCTACAATCCCTTTAAGCGTATTTTTTACGTTTAAATAATTGTGAACCAATGTTATTGTTGCTCAGATATTTTTCTACCCTGTTACACATTGAAGTTTCAGATAAAATGGTTTTGGAGAAATATTTTCTTACTTTGTACGGCAGATGGGACAAGTGGAATGAAAATAAGATGACAGATGACGTGAAAAATGAAGGTGTAAGAACTCCTCCACCCCTTTAAATCTGTTTAGACAAATATGGTTTTCTTGATCTAGTAAGTCCATCTTGGGAATTATAGGTGGCTAGTAGGAAGTCCCTAACACTCTGATTGATTGATTTCTAAGAAAATTTGGTTACATAAGAGCAAAGATCTTTATTATTTAGAATTAGATTTACATTTTTTCACTTCTGTGCTATTCTTTACTTTGAAGTTTTCCTCATTGTTTTTTNAAATGTAATATACTTTTGGAAATAATATTTTAAAAGAGGAAACTAAACGTATAAGAATTCCTCCGCCCCCTTTAAATCAATATTTTCTATGCCTAAACGTTACCTAGCACCTAGAAGTATTTAAAAATAATCTTTCCAGGTTGAGAGATTAAACTCCTGGTTCGGAAAATGAAGAGTTCGGCTCAGATATGCAATGAAAGAAGCCAGCTTGAAACAAAGAGCCTCTCCATTCTGTGTAGTGCATGCACATTGCACATGGCACATGCTGAAAAATTTGCGGATATCTTGTTTCATACTTGGAGCATTTAATTTATTTTTATCAAGATAATTTCACTTCTCTTTTCAGACAAATGCGGTAATATGCCGACAAACACTGGCAGATATATTCCCAATAAAGGGAAGGGGGGTGGGGGCAGATGGGACAAAGGCGGAGCAAAAGGAGGAGGTGAAGACAAGGTAAATAAAGTTTTTTTTATTAAAAAAAAATGATTTTTAAAAGGTCTTAACTTCATGTCAAAAAGGGCTAATCTTCATGTCAAAAAGGAAAAAACTTAATGTCAAAAAGGGCTAATTGTCATGTCAAAAAGAGCTAAACTTCATGTCAAAAAGGGCTGATTGTCATGTCAAAAAGAGCTAAACTTCATGTCGAAAAGGGCTAATTTTCATGTCAAAAAGAGCTAAACTTCATGGCAAGAAGGGCTAAACTCTTATTAAAAAAGGGCGAGAAGACATTTTCTCTTTGTTTAGCCAAAAAAATCAGTTTATGGGAAGAAATTGAAAAATTGACGCTTTGTTTGAGAAAAAAAAGGATTTTTAAAAATTATTTAAGGGAAAATGTTAAATTACATAAACAAATAAAAAGTAAAAATAAAAGACCAATTTGTGAAAATAAAAAATGAGACTAAAATTGAGATTTTTTATGTTTAGCAGTCGTCCTACACGTCTGAGGACGATAGAACTGATCTGAGGGTGAAGGAGGCCAGGGAGAATGATATTATTGATGCTAAATACGGGTTTGACAGGTGATTAAACCTTTATTACTATATCAGATACCAGCTGAAAATCCCGGCGTTGCTTGTGGAAAAAAATAAATTAACAAAAAATTTAGATTTTTGAAAAAATGTTGATTTTTTTTCGCTTCTGTTACCCACATATAATATATATAAGCGAAGAGCATTATTATATATATTTGAGATATGAAAACTAATGAAATAAAAGATTATTTTATTTATAACTTCTCATAATTTCTTAAGTTTTAACAGTTTCTACAGCACATTTGTTTTGCTCGAACAATTATTTTATTTAGTAAATTTTGCACTTTTTCCCATTCAACATGAATGATTTTTATTTTATTTAGATCATTCCTAATTCCTTTCAAGGAATTTTGCTGTCCCCCCCCATCATATCATTACAAAAACATGGGGGAAAAAATATTTTCTTTTTAGGTGTTTATTTTTAAGAGAATTCACGTCTCCTATGTTTTATCTAAAACTTATACATTTTTTTGATATTTTTGTTATTATTTAATAAAAAATGTTCATGTAAGACAATGTATTTGTATTTATGAATTGTTGTCCTCTGTGCCACATGTGTGTGTGTATCCAGGGTTATCGACCAGCAGGAGAGGATCGGGTACCTTATCAACATGCACTCCTCGGAGCTCATCCAGGAGGAGGACAAGCGACTCATCGCCTGCGTTGATTACTACTTTATCCAGGTTCAAATAATTTCTTTCGAGATTTCCATTCTTCTCTTTTCTCTCTTTTTCAAACCTTATTTATCCAACATAAATGTTTAAATTTTACACAAAAAAACTTAAAAACTTAAGTTTGCATTTTTTGTGTAAAAAATGCTTTGGGGTCATGAAGTGGACTCATTGCTTTACAGTAATGTTTATCAACATCATGTTAATTCGTTAAAATTAAAGTTTATGTTATCTGCAAGCAACTTAAGTTTCGTTCAAAAGCTTCTAGAACTGTGTTAGATCAAGGATCAAATATTATTTGGTGGCGAAGACCTTCTGATAAGTTGTCTGCTAATAAACATAACAATATTAATGAAAATATTTTATATTTTACAGGAGGATGGATCTAGGTTCAAGGTTTCTCTACCCTTCAAACCATACCTCTACCTTCAGATCAAACCTGAGAACATTCAGGTAATCAATCAATCAATCAATCAATCAAACATCCATCTAAATTATTGATTGGTTAATTAATCTTCCTACCAATTTATCAACCATACACCAACCAAGCAATCAATCAACCAATCAATCAATTAATCAATTAATCAATTAATAAACTAATCAACTAATCAACTAATCAACTAACTAATAAATCAATTTAATAAAATAATTATCAATCAACCAAACAGCCAATATATCAAAACCAACCAATCAATCTAATAATCTATCAATCAACCAATCAATATATCAATGATTAACCAACAAACAGCTAATAAATATATCAAATAAAGTTTCAATCAACCACTCAATCAATCAACCAGCTAATTGATCAATAAACTGCATTGATTTGTAATTTATAATCTTAACTTCCATCATCGTTTAGGAGACCTCGGCATTTATCAGTAAAAAGTATGGACAGTACATAACAAGTTCAACACAGGTTAACAATTTATTAGATTTTCTAAAAGTGTTAGGGGGGCTCAGTCCTCAGTATATTTTAAAATGCTTATTATCTCTGCACCTTATTAATCAAAACCTTTTTTATGCATAGCTTTCTTAGCTGGCCAAAGGTAAGGATAAATATAAGCTTGAATCAAGAAATTTAAGGGATTATAAGTGTAATTTCAATCTCCCCTCCATGCAAAGATGGCAATGCCCGATTCACAACCGTTAAAGGGACTGTAAAGGAAAAATGAAAGGGGGTATAGGTTGAAAGATAATCACTCTAGCTCTTGATCGCGACCCATGAAAGATATATCTGATGTTCCTATCTCGAGAAATAGATATAAAACTGTGTTAGAATTATACGAAAGTTCATATGTGAAAAACTTAGAAAATCTTAAACTTAAATCACGTGACCAGAACTATCACCAATGGCAGAGCAGTATACTGGTCACGTGTCTCCGCCTGTATCACGTGACCACTTTAATGCACTGCCATTGGGGGAATTTCTGGTCAAGCAATACGGATGTATAAATAATATTATGAATTAAATCTATAAAAAATAGAAATAACAAATATAAAATTAGAATTGGAGTAAACCTAAGTTACAATTAGCTTTCTCTGGGATATCATCGTTTTCAGATTGGTTGCATATTTGCTGAATTTGATCTATTTAAACCCACTACTTTTATACAAAATTGTATATATATTAATTTTCGTATAAATTTGACAAAGTTGTAAATCAATTTCTCGAGATAGGAACATCAGATATAACTTTCATGGGTCGCGATCGAGAGCTAAAGTGATTAGCTTTCAGCCTATACCCCCTTTCATTTTTCCTTTACAGTCCCTTTAAAAGCATTTTCTGATCAAGTATAAATTAGATATTTTTCATATTGAAAGCTGACCATTTTTAATCTTGGTTCTCTTCAAAAGTGACTTGCGTATTTCTACTGCAGGAAACTACATATGATTCAATAGAATTAAACAGTTTTGAACCTAACAAACGACAATGTCTAACTTCCACATTAAGAATCATAAAGATTTCAAAGGTAACGTTGAGAATTAGGCGTCGCTTGGAGGGTCACTTGTACTTACGCTTTCCTAGAATGTGCCGTCTGATCACATGTGCAACCATAGTGATTTTATCCTAACTTAAGTCAAATAGTGTGTACATCTTCACATATGGGGGGGGGGGGGGGAAAAAAAAGTTTACATTTTATTTTAAGATAAATCATTCTAAACAAGATAAAGCTTTATTTTAAAATTTACAATGTACAATTTGCATTGTGCATTGTACAATGACATGAGAATTCAATAATTTGGTTCATGCTTGGGCTATCTTATAGACACTTTTATTTTTACAAACAGTTGGTAGATTTTTCCATGTAGGTGTATAAAGAAGATCTTGATTTGAAGAACCATCTGGTTGGTCTTAAACAGCTTTATCTTAAGCTTGAGTTCCTTACTGTCACAGATCTTACCAAGGTAGGAAAATAAGAAAAATAAATGGTTAGTTAAAATCAGCAAAATAATAGTCATTTTTATCATACTTGTGTAATCGTGTCGCCCAAAGGAAGTCAGATTTGGGTACTGGATTAGTCAGATTTGGGAACTGAATTTGGGAATTGGATTTGGGAACTGGATTTGGGAATTTGATTTTGGAATTTGATTTTGAAATTGGATTTGGGTGTTGGATTTGGGAATTGGATTTTGATTTAATTTGTATAATCTTTTTGCAGCTTAAAATGTACGTAAAAATAATAAGTAAATGTATTTTTATGTGAAGTCCCCTTTTATTAAAGCAGTACATTCCATTAATAAATATTCACAGAGTATTTATCGTATAGTTTACTCACATAATAACAGTACATTAAATTTACTACGTACGCATTCACTAAAGTAGAGCACTTACACCGTAAAATAAATTAGATTTATTTTTTCACAGAAGATTCTGTAATCTGAATGCTGCACTGATCGCAAACTATAATATGTACATGTTCATAAGTGAACTTTGCACAATTTACACTTTCCATAAATGTTGTCCAATGTAGACTTTCCATAAATGTTGTCCAATGTACACTTTCCATAAATGTTTTCCAATGTACACTTTCCATAAATGTTGTACAATGTACACTTTCCATAAATGTTGTACAATGTAAACTTTCCCTAAATGTATTTTGTACAATGTACATTTTCCCTAAATGTTGTTTATGTACACTTTCCCTAAATGTTGTACAATGTACACATTCCCGAAGTGTATTTTGTACAATGTACACTTTCCCTAAATGTATTTTGTACAATGTACACTTTCCCTTAATGTTTACAATGTACACTTTCTCTAAATGTATTTTGTACAATGTACACTTTCCTTAAATGTATTATGTACAATGTACACTTTCTAAATGTAATTTGTACAATGTACACTTTCATTAAATGTATTTTGTACTATGTACATTTTCCTTAATTTTGTTTTGTACATTGTACACTTTCCCTAAATGTATTTTGTACAATGTACACTTTCCCTAAATGTTGTACAATGTACACTTTCCTTAAATGTATTTTGTACAATGTACACTTTCTAAATGTAATTTGTACAATGTACATATTCCTAAAATGTATTTTGTACAATGTACACTTTCCTTAATTGTGTTTTGTACAATGTACACTTCCTAAATGTAATTTGTACAATGTACACTTTCCCTAAATGTTGTACAATGTACACTTTCCCTAAATGTTGTACAATGTACACTTCACTTCCCCTAAATGTACTTTGTACAAAGTACACTCTCCCTAAATGATGTACAATGTACACATTTCCTACATGTATTTTATACAATTTACACTTCCTAAATGTACTTTATACAAGGTACATTCTCCCTAAATGAACTTTGTACAATGTACACATTTCCTAAATGTATTTTGTACAATGTACACTTCCCAAATGTACTTTCCCTTGATGTACTTTGTACAATGTCCACTTTCCTCTAATGTAATTTGAACAGTGTGCACTTTCCCTTAATGTATTTTGTACATTGACTACTTTCCCTATATGCATTTTGTGCAATGTCCACTTTCCCTTGATGTACTTTGTGCAATGTCCACTTTCCCTTAATGTACTTTGTACATTGACTACTTTCCCTAAATGTACTTTGTACAATGTCCACTTTCCCTTAATGTACTTTTGTTGAATTTCAGTAAGTTTTAAACATTTATTCTCCGATGTTAAAACCTATAAAAAAATACAGTAAATTACATGGTAAACATTAATAGCAACTTAGATATGAAAGAAGTTGTTTTACATAAAATGGTTTAAAATATCTCAGAGTAGACTTTAGCAAACTTAGATATGAAAGAGTTTGCTTGGTTCTTAGCAATAAATCATATATAAACAATGAGCAATACAATTAAATGGATTTTAAATAAAAATGAGCAACAACTTAAATGTGAAATATATTGTGTAACATAGAATGGTTTAAAATATCTCAGAGTAGACTTTAGCAAACTTAGATATGAAAGAGTTTGCTTGGTTCATAACAATGAATTATATATAAACAATGAGCAATAAAATTGAATTTTGATAATAATAAAACTTATTTACATTAGCCGAAAAAGGGACCCACAAAAGTAGAGGAACATTTGAATGAATAGTTACATACTTCTGAAATATTAAATGTTATGTTCACAATTAAATAATTCTTAAACATATTTAACTAACTATGCAGTTCACTGCTCTGTTTGATAATGAGTGAATGAATGTTCACATGTGTATAATTCCCACATGTTTGAAATGCCCATACAGTGGATGTTGAGTATAAACTATACACCGGAAGGTCCAGGTAGTTAAGATTGGAGTAGGACGACCTTTGCTTTAATATTTTAACAACTATGCAGTCATTTTTTTTAATTTTTACTAAAAACATTTTCTGTGAATCATTATTCTGAAATTCACAAATCCTTTTGAAAAAGTTAAAGTATATGTAGTATAAATTTTATTTTCACTCCTTTTCATATCATTTACTTGTTATAACGTTGTTAAGTGAGTATCAATAAGCTGATTTGTTTTTAAAAACTTTTCAGGTTTTTAGACTTTTTGAAGGTTCTACAAAAATCTTTAAAGTTTTAAAAATTTGCAAATTTTAACTCTAAGTAAAGATTTATGCAATAAGTAAAAAAAGGATAGTTTTAAAATGATTTTTGACAAGTTTTTTCCTTAAGGATAACATTTTTGTATAGTTTATAATAGAAACTTTTAGAGGATACAGTTTTGAGATGTAGGAACCTTGATGGAATTTTATAATCCCTATTAAAAGTCAAAATCCTGAAAAGTTTTATAAAAACAAACCAAGTTTTTGGCCATCAGTAACTGTGTCAAATGTAAATGCATTCCAGACATCTTTTATAATGTATTTTTATTTCAGTGTTTTGTGAGGAATGAGCAAGAAAGTGCACAAGCCACTGGAGAGCTGAAGCTTGGTGGACGATTTGACCCACCAGAATTCATTAAAACCTTCCAAACCCAAGTTTTAAAAGGAGGTCCAAGTGTACAGATGCCATGCATAGCCAAGGGTGATCCAATGCCAGAAGTGAAGTGGTTTCTTTATGATACAGAAATTGAAAGTGATATAAGTGCTGGTGTTACCATTGGATCATTTGAGGGTGATAATGGTGAAGTTGCATCATATCTCAATATAACCCAGGCACGTACAAAGCATGGAGGTTTATATAAGTGTGTTGCTTCCAGCAAGGTTGGATCAGTTTCTCATGAAGGTCGGCTTGATGTTCATGGGGCACCATATGTTCGTCCAATGGAAGATATGAAGGTGGTGGCTGGGAAGACCATGACAGTGACTTGTCCTGTGGCAGGTTATCCAATCTCAAACATTGTCTGGGAAAGAGAGGGCCGTCAGCTCCCAATTAACGATCGTCAAAGAGTATTCACAAATGGAACCTTGATAATAGAAGATGTTCAAAGGTCAGAAGATGCTGCTGCATACACTTGTGTAGCTAAAAATGAAGGTGGCTACTCTGCCAGGTCTGATCTTGAGGTCTCAGTTATGGGTAAGTTTGACTTTTTATTTACAATCTTGGGTGCTTCACTTTGTTTACATAGTCTTCTATGTGGTTAGTCAGAAATTATTTGCTCTAAAAATCAGAATTAAAATCAAACTATAGAAGAAGAGAGAATAAGTTTTAGAACAACTGTATCTAAGGCATAAAGTTTTGCATATAAGAGACCCCTAAACTAGTTTCAAACAAAGTAACTTTGTGTAAAATTAAACTTTAAAGTAATAAAATTTTAGTTTGAATTTATTGACATAGCAAGATTTTCAAATTTTTCATAAAAAATTATGCAATTTTTTTAAATTTAAGAAGCACCCATTGAAATAATAATTGATTAATATATATTTCAGGAATTTCTTTATAACTATATTCTGGCATTAAAGACCAATATTTGTGTTATTATATTCTACAAATATGAAAAAGTAGCATGATTTCTAAAATGAAGAAGCATTTTCTACCATATTGAATCACATCTACTAGATCTGTAAAGTATCTACCATGAAAATTGGTATATATGGCCTTTGCAACTGGTTGAAGGATTTATTCATATAGTTATATATAAGATTGAAAGTTCCAGGTTCTCATATTAAAATAAATATTAGAAGTAATCATTTTAGAGCCTCCAGAAATTGTACCCTTTGATTTTGGTTCTGAAGTTGTTAATCAAAAGGAGTTTGCCCAACTCAGCTGTGTTGTCAGAAAAGGGGATGAACCCATTTCTATCACATGGAGTTTAAAGGGGGATGTTATTAGCTCTGACCCGACCATGTCAACCAATACTCTTGGAACTAGAATGAGTTTACTAATGATCACCTCAGTAGAGCATAGGCATAGTGGAACTTACACTTGTAGAGCAGAGAATCCTGCTGGAGTTTCAACTTATTCAGCTACTCTTAGAGTTAATGGTAAATAAGAAATAGGCACTGGATTATCTTTTGGTATTTTCAGATCCTCCAGAAATTGTTCCATTTTCTTTTGGAGTTCAGTCTGTAAATCAGGGGGACTTTGCTCAACTGATATGTGTTGTTATGAGAGGGGATGAGCCTATTACTCTTTCTTGGAGTTTGAAAGGAGATATCATATCTTCTGACCCAGTTTTAAAAACCACAATGCTTGGAACTAGAACCAGTATGCTAACAATTTCTGAGATAAGTTACAGACATAGTGGAACATACACCTGCAGAGCTTCTAATATGGCTGCAAGTGTGACATATTCTGCTAATCTGACTGTTAATGGTAATCTTTAATTTGGCACAGGGCACTGGAAATATTTTCTATTTTAGAACCCCCTGAGATTGTGCCTTTTTCATTTGGAGCTGATTCATTGAACAAAGGAGAATTTGCACAACTTGTATGCGTTGTTAGAAAGGGGGATGAGCCAATGACATTAACCTGGCACTTGAAGGGAGATGTAATATCATCAGATCCTGATCTTTCAACAACTATGTTGGGACGAAGAACAAGCATGTTGACGGTTTCTTCAGTTAGCTATCGTCATAATGGAGTTTACACATGTAGAGCAAGCAATCAAGCTGGTACTGTTTCTTACTCTGCTGATTTAGTTGTCAATGGTAATTTGAATGAAAAAGGCACTGGAATTATCTTTTTTTTCTTATGCTTTAAAATCACTTAAGCAACTTCATACAGTGATAACCAGAAAACTGTGAAACTGTGAAGACAACTTTTAAACTCAAGTTAGGACTTAAACTAGTTCAATAAACATTATACATAGTAATTTCACAGGGTAAATAGACCCTTTTCACTTAGATTGTGCTTTGCTTTGTAACAAAACCAAAACGCTTAAGTATTGCTTTAAAGTTATCTTTCTATTCCATTGTTTTCTGGTTATCACTGTAGTAAAATTTACCTGAAACCTATTCTGTACTTATACAACTGGTTTTACAGTATTTTTTTCTTGTATAGTAATTCATAGTCTTGACTAAACTTGCTATATTTACATATTTGCTGATTGCTATTGCTTTACATGCTCTCTTGTTATTGTTAAAAAGTTACCATTTTTAAATTTAAATTTGAATTTTCTATTCCAGAGCCACCACAAATTGTTCCTTTTTCATTTGGTGTGAACTCTGTCAATCAGGGAAGCTTTGCACAATTGGTTTGTGTTGTTATGACTGGAGACGAACCTATTACCCTTAGTTGGAGTTTAAAAGGAGACATCATTTCATCTGATCCTGACATATCTACTACTATGTTGGGAACAAGAACTAGTATGCTAACAATAGCTTATGTAAGTCATTTGCACATTGGTACTTACACATGCCGGGCTTCCAACCCTGGGGGCTCTGTCACTCATTCAGCAAACTTGCTTGTGAATGGTATGAAAAAGTCTTGAAAGTACTGGAAACATCTTTTTTTCTTTATTTAGTTTCCCCTGAGATTGTCCCTTTTTCATTTGGAACTGAGGCTATCAACCAAGGAGAGGTAGCTCAGCTGATGTGCATAGTGAGAAAAGGGGATGAACCATTGAGTTTGACCTGGAGCTTAAAAGGAGACATAATTTCTTCTGATCCTGATCTGTCTACAACAATGATTGGATCAAGAACAAGTGTTCTGACAGTATCAGCTGTTAAGTATCGTCATAGTGGAGTATACACATGCAGAGCTTCAAACCCAGCAGGCACTGTCTCACATGCTGCTCATTTACTTGTAAATGGTATGTTTAATTAAAAAGGCACTGGATATATCTTTTTTTTAGTTCCCCCTGAAATTGTGCCTTTTACCTTTGGAACTGAACCTGTAAATAATGGTCAGTTTGCTCAACTCATGTGTATTGTAAGAACTGGTGATGAACCCATTACTCTGAGTTGGAGCCTAAAGGGTGATATAATCTCTTCTGACCCTGAACTGTCTACTACTATGCTTGGAACTAGGACTAGTCTTCTCACAATTTCTTCTGTAAACTATCGTCACAGTGGAACATACACATGCAGAGCTTCTAACCCAGCTGGAACAGTTATTCATTCAGCTAATCTTACGGTCAATGGTAAAATATAATGATTTTAGAAAGGCACTGGAAGTAAATTTATTAGCTAGACCCTATTTTTCAGAACCACCCCAGATTTTGCCGTTTTCCTTTGGCAAAGATGTTATAAATCAAGGCCAACTTGGACAGTTAGTTTGCACCATTCTTCAGGGAGATGAACCCATTTCTATAAAATGGTCAGTTCAAGGTGAAGATCTTGGACCAGGACCAGACCTAACTACATCACAACTTGGATCCCGAACTTCAATCCTAATGATTAGTTCTGTATCATATAGACATTCTGGAACTTACACATGCTTAGCAAGTAATCCAGCAGGGTCAGTTTCATATTCTGCAGAGCTATCAGTAAATGGTAATTAAAGTAAAGGTCACTGGAAAGCATTGAAATATATTATTTTAGAATCGCCTGAAATTTTGGATTTCTCATTTGGGAATACAGCTGTGAATCAGGGAGAACCACGTCAGATAATTTGCTCTGTCATAAAGGGAGATGAACCCTTGACAATAACTTGGTCATTACATGGGGAAGACTTAGGGCCTGGCCCTGATTTGACAACTACACAACTTGGCACTCGTACGTCTCTACTTATGATAACTGCAGTCTCATATAGACATTCTGGAAAGTATACTTGTAATGCAAGTAACTATGCAGGGTCTACTTCTTATACAGCAGAGCTGAAAGTTAATGGTAAATTTATGTCATTAAGTATCAGAAGGCACTGGAGTATATTTGTTTTTTATCACTGTATCAAATTTTAGAATTATTAATTCCATTATAATTACAGAGATGTCTATAGAGACAAAGTTATTGATTGTTCAAGGTTTTGTAAATACTTCAGAAAATCAACTTTCTGTTATTATAGAGCCACCTAAGATCCTACCCTTTTCCTTTGGAGATGAAGCTGTAAATACTGGAGAATTGCGTCAACTTCTATGCACAGTTATCAAAGGAGATGATCCACTATCAATATCATGGTCCATGAAAGGGGAAAATCTTGGACATGGTCCTGATATAACAACTTCACAATTGGGAGCTAGAACATCCATGCTCATGATAAGTAGTGTTACATACAGACATTTGGGTTACTACACATGCACAGCCACTAATCTAGCTGGTTCAGCATCAATTACTGCAGAGCTCAAAGTCAATGGTAATTATTGTAAGGAAGGCACTTGGTTATGGTCTATTTATTTGTTTAGAGTCCCCTGAGATAGGGCCATTCTCCTTCTCAAAAACATTGATGAATGAAGGAGATTTTGCTCAAATATCCTGCATTGTAACTTCTGGTGACAAACCATTATCTATTACATGGACTTTTCATGGTACTCAAACTGAAACTCCAGGAATGGATAATGGCATTACAACTTCAAATATTGGTGGTCGTATGAGTATGTTAGTTATTGACTATGTCAAGCACATCCATCAAGGAAACTATACCTGCCAAGCTTCAAACCAAGCTGGTTCTAGTTCTCACACAGCAAAGCTTTTGGTTAATGGTAATTAATATCCTATCATAAAAGATCACAAGAAGGTGTAATTTTGTCTCTTGTAAAAACGCAATTTTGGTGTAATGTTTAATGAACCATTCTTTATTATAATGCCCCATGTCCATTGTCCAACCTTGTGTTTTCTATTTATATTGTGCATATTTTACCATACAATAAATTTGAGAATGATTCTAAGAACTGGTTTATGTCATTCACTTCTTTAACTTAATGATTAATTATGCTATTGCTTACTCTAAGCAGTCAATAAAGTTCTCTGCCTCAAATGCTTTTTACATTTTACTTTTTTACAGGATCATGGAAATATTATTTTAATAGCCAAATTTTCTTTAAAATCTCTAATTCTAGAGCCTCCAAAGCTGCTACCCCTCTCTTTTGGAGCAGATATTTTGGATGAGGGTGGATTTGCTCAACTATCTTGCATTGTTACAAAAGGAGATAAACCTCTTTCAATATCATGGACATTTCATGGCAGTAATATTACCCATGATCTGGATATCCTGACTACCCCTATTGGAGATCGTGGTAGCATGCTTGTTATATCAAGTGTTGCTCACAAGCATAGAGGAAATTATACCTGCTCAGCTTCAAACAGAGCTGGGGTTATGTATAGTACAGTAGAACTAAGAGTTAATGGTAATTAAATATCTGACAATAACACTGGAAATATTTTTTTCTATTTTAGAACCTCCTGAAGTTCTTCCATTGAGCTTTGGAAAAGAGATCATGAGTGAGGCTGATTTTGCACAATTGTCTTGTATAGCTGCAAAAGGGGATCAACCTCTTACTTTTGCATGGTCATTCCATGGGAGCAGTATTACCAATGATCTTGATATAATCACCACTCCTATTGGTTCTAAAGGAAGCATGCTTGTTATTTCAAGTGTTGACTATAAGCATAGGGGAGAATACAGTTGCACAGCTAAAAACTCTGCTGGGGCTAGAACTCAGACTGCTGAGCTTAAAGTAAACGGTAATATTTAGAGTTGGCACTGGAAATATAGTTTTTATTTAGAGCCACCAGACTTGATGCCGTTAACATTTGGACGAGATGTATTAAATGAAAATGATCTTGGTCAAGTGTCTTGCATAGCCACTCGGGGAGATGAACCCATGACTGTAACATGGACTTTTCATGGCAACAGCATTTCCTCTGATTTGGATATCATGATAACACCTATTGGTGGTAGGGGAAGTAACCTACTAATTATGAAAATTGGACACAGACATAGTGGAATATTTACTTGTACTGCATCAAATTCTGCGGGAAGTAGCTCTGAAAGCATTGAACTTCTTGTTAATGGTAATTATTGTCAAGGTCACAGAAAGGCATTTATATATTTCTGAAAAGTCTAAATATTTTTAGAGCCTCCCTTTGTGATGCCACTTTCATTTGGCATGGACATCTTAAATGAGGGAGCCTTTGCCCAAGTATCCTGTGTGGTGAGTCAAGGAGATGAACCTCTACAAGTCTCATGGACTTTTCATGGGGGTCAAATAACATCAGACCTTGGTATTTTAACAACACCCATAGGATCCAGGGGTAGTTTGCTCCTAATTTCAAGTGTAAAGCATGAACATCGTGGAAACTAACTTGCTCTGCCAAAAATAATGCTGGAAGTAAATCTCAGACTGTGGAGCTTAAAGTCAACGGTAAAATCTAGCATTAAACTTACTGGAAATATCTTTTCATTTAGAACCCCCAGACCTCCTTCCCTTGACCTTTGGTAGAGATGTTATGGATGAAGGCAGCTTGGCTCAAGTTTCCTGCATTGCTGCCAAAGGAGATGAACCATTAACTTTGTCCTGGACATTTCATGGTAGCAAGATTTCATCTGACTCAGGAATTATCATAACTCCTGTAGGGTCAAAAATATCAATGCTTCTTATATCCAGTGTTAATTATCAGCACAATGGCATCTACACTTGTACTGCCAAGAACCATGCTGGTCAGAAATCAATGTCAACAGAGTTAAAAGTCAATGGTAAATAATGTGAGGTTTTAAAGGTCACAGGAAATATTGTGTTAAATTGTAAAATTTTAGAGCCACCTGAATTGCTGCCTTTGTCCTTTGGAGCAGATATCATGAATGAGAAAGACTTTGCTCAAGTTTCCTGTATTGTCCGGAAGGGTGATGAACCACTAACGGTATCCTGGTCCTTTCATGGAGGAAGTATAACTTCAAACATTGGAATCATTACTTCTCCAATTGGATCACGAGGCAGCATGCTTCTAATCTCTAGTGTGGGTCATAAGCACAGAGGAAACTATACCTGCACTGCTAAAAACAGTGCAGGTGTTAAGTTTGAGACAGTTGAGCTTAAAGTCAATGGTAATCATTTTTTTTCAAAGAATAAGGTCACAGGAATTTTTTTTTAGTTCCTCCAGCAATTCTTCCATTATCATTTGGGACCAAAATCATGAATGAAGGTTCTTTTGCCCAGCTAAGCTGCATAGTTCCTGAGGGAGATGAACCTATAGACATATCATGGTCATTCCATGGTATGGGTATATCCTCTAACATTGGGATTACTACTACTAAGATTGGAACAAGAGGAAATGTTTTGATGATCCCAAGTGTTGGACATGTGCACACTGGCATGTATGAATGTAAGGCAGATAATGCAGCTGGGTCAGCATCTCAGTCAGTTTCCTTGCAAGTCAATGGTAAAGGTTTTTCTTTTGAAGGTCACAGGGAGTTTGTTCTCTGAAATAAATAAAACATATTTTTTCAGTTCCACCTGTTATCCTGCCTTTGAGTTTTGGTCAAGATATAATGAATGAAGGAGGTTTTGCCCAAGTGTCATGCATTGTTACTGAAGGGGATGAACCTTTCTCAATAACATGGTCGTTCCATGGTCATGCTCTATCTGCAGATCTTGGAATTAAAACCACACCTCTGGGTACAAGGGGAAGTTCACTGATGATTCCGCAAGTAGGGTATAGGCACAGGGGAAACTACTCCTGTCAAGCATCTAACTATGCTGGGAAGAGGTCCAAGACAGTTGAACTTAAAGTCAATGGTGAGCATATTTAGTTTTACCACAAAAGATTCCTTGTTTAAGCAATATTAAATGTGCATTGGTTCAGGTTTCTATGTAAATGCAAAAACAGATACACAAGGTTAAGGTCAATTATGTTCAACTCTTTTTTTTGGGAAATCATGATCACTAGAGTAGAATAAATCTCTTAATTTTTGTCCTTGTTTTTTAGAGAAACACTTTGTTGGCATTTAAGATATTTGTCATGATACCCTAATTCCTAACATTTACAATTAATTTTGGTTCAGAATTTTGTGTTTAAATTCTTTATTTATTATGTTTTATTTTTCTTTGGTCATTTAGTTCACAGCTACGTTTTGGATTTCTGAGTAGTGACTAGGCCTACAATACTTTGACACTTACCGGTTCATTCTGTCAAAACTTGGAACACAAACACACATGTTTGCAGCTGTCTCAGCTGCAACAGCTGTTTGTTTATATACGGCAGGGGTCGGGCGTCTGTACCGTCCAAGTTACTCACTCTGCTCTTCTCATAATCAGTTCTCAACTCCATCTTGTGGGAAAATTTGGCATTAAAAAATGAGTTACTCATCAAATTGTTGATTTTTCCCCCTCATGGAATGATTCACTCCAGGACAACGAATGATTTTTTCAAAAGCAAATAAAAAAGATATTTCCAGTGCCTTCCTGTGACCTTTTATTATTAAACCATTGATATGAAATTTATAAGAGATTATAATTTCATAGCAATGACGAAATACAGTACTATTGTCATACAGCAACTTAATAAAAAGTGAGATATTCAAATAAATTTTTTAATATATTTTTTTTTGATCTTTTAGTTGAGTTTGCAATTTTCTTTTTCTATTAATTTTCAAATTAAGTATCAAGCACATCATTTAAGATTAAATATAAGTTATGAAGTTAAAGTTTGTTCAAAATTTATTTTATTTTTGTGCTGCTTAAACCTATTTTGATAGTTTTAGAAAACTGCTAACCAAAGAGTTTTTAAGAAGCACTTTTGATTTTAAATGAAAGCTTATGCCTCCTAAAATTTGCTTTGGCACCTATCAACTTGCTAAAAAATAAAGGCTGACATAACTTTTCACAATTTATGCAATTTCCTTGTAAGTTTTCCATTTGCATTTTTATGTTTTAAAAACTAAACTTAATATTTAACTTTTAAAAGAACTGAGCAAAACGATGCCGATCGAATGTATACATTCAGAACAATTTAAATCAGAAACTAGTCTTTTTTCAACAACGGTTCATTTTATATATTTTATATAGTTTTATGCTTTTTATATTTTTGGAAGTAAACAACGTTGTTAGGACTCTTATTTTAATTGTGTCTGAATGTTGAGAAATTAAATTTAAAATGTTGCTGTATGATCCAGTTGGATTTAGTTTTACTCACTTTTTGTGTTGTTTTACAGGCAACTTAATAGTAGAAGAGAATTTTCAATTTAAATATCAGTAAATTCAAAATAATAAAATACATTCACATGAAAAGTTAGAAAGACAATCCAATTGGGAAAGTTCACTTTACTACCTTGTGTGCAGTTTTCTCGTTAAATCAACTTAAAGATTATTGAATAAAATCAACAAATTTTACAAAGGAATTTCAAGTCTTTGTCACAAATTCAGATACTCTAATTCCTATATCTTTGCAATCTGATTGGGTAAACTTTTGATTTTAGATTGATTTTAAAATCAGAGTTAGTGGCAAAGAATCAATTACTTCATAATTCTTGATAATTCAATATTGACTAAATTTCCATAAAGTTTTATTAAGAATCTCAATCAGTTCCACTGAGAAACAGATTTTCTTTTTTAGTTGACAGTTCATTCAAATTCACTCTAAAAACATTGGATAGAATAAATTCGTAATTCTGGTTCATTTACTATAACTTCCTTTTATATGTCGCGACCCTGACTTTTTTGTGTCTAAAATTTACGTTTCGATCAGTTACAAATTGATGCACAAAAATGCAATCAACATTATTCTAGGTCTAATAAATTAGGGATCTTCCAAGAATATCTTTTCACGTTTTTTCTAAATTTTTAGCCCTAAAACATGAAGCTATGCAAGTTTTTGATAAATGTATATCCAGTAATTATGAAAACCAACGCTATGGTTTTTTTTCTACTCCCCCTGTAATATTGCTGTGTTTTTATTGCTTGTTAATCAGCTGTAAATTCACGGTTTCTGCTCGGATTCAAATAAAATCTAACATGAATCAAAGAATTTAAATTGCAAATAAAAATGAATGTTTTAAAACTGCATAAAATCATTAATGAATCAATCAAATTATTTAAACTTTCAGAAACAAGATATATTTAAACATTACACTCAGATACTGTAATGAATTACAAATTAACAGGAACTTAATTTGTATTATTATTTTGATGTTTTTATTATTATTATTATTATTATTATTATTATTATTATTATTATTATTATTATTATTATTATTATTATTATATTCATTATCATTATCATTATCATTATCATTATTATTATCATTATCATTATCATTATCATTATCATTGTTATTTTAATATTAATATTACTGTTTTATAGGAAAGTGAAGGTTATTATCTGTGTAAATCTACGAATGGAATAGGACGGGGTCTCTCTGCAGTCATTTACATCAGTGTACAGGGTAAACAATATTTATTAAAAAAATTCTATTAATGAAATTTTAATCAATGAATCGAGTTGTGTTTGATAGAGAAAAAACTCATAAACTAATTATTTACGTACAACATACAACAAAATGCAAATACTTTTTTAATCAAAACACGACAATTTGTCCAACTTGTTTAAACCACGGTTAAAACTCAATGGCTCTATGGCTTATCACATTTACACTTTTTATGTCATTATAAGGAATGGAGTATTTGCCACAAACTAAAATTTTCTTATCTCTATATCTTTGATTTTTCAAACTTATTTTATTTGATCCAACACATTTAATTGTTTGAAATTGGGTTGCAAAGATGTAGGAAATATGAAATCTAAGTTAGTGGCAAACGATCTATTCATTTAGGAAATTATCAAAAGTTTAAATAATTTACAAACCAAGCCAAATTAAATTTTTGGGTCTTTTAATAATAAATGGCTTAAAATGGAAAATCTAAACACATTAAAAAAAATGGCTTTAATCAGTCCACCGTGATTACTTAGTATTTATTTAGCGCCTCCTTCCTTCGAGATTAAAACCAGATCCCAGACAGCGCTGAAGGGTGAGAGCACAGTGCTCCAGTGTATAGCCAAGGGAGAGAAACCTATTGGGATTTTATGGAACATGAACAACAAACGATTGGATGGAAACACAGACCCAAGGTATTTATTCATCATACTTTTAAAACATTTAAAAAAAAAGAACACAGCCCATATAAAATGCCTTTACTCGATGATTAGGAAAACTGCCTATTATTTAGTTGAGTTTTTAAAAATGCAATATCTACAATTAAGATTTAATTGTTCTATTGAGTGTAAATTTGTTTCTCTTTCATGTTTATGTTCCTTTTTAAATTATTCATATGCATAAAATATAATGAATATTTGTACCTAGGTATACTATAAAAGAAGAAATCAGAAATGACGGTGTTCTATCCACAATCAGTGTTCGGCGAACCGAGAGATCTGATACTGCAACCTTCACCTGTGTTGCTACCAACGCCTTCGGTAGTGATGATACCATCATCAACCTGATTATCCAGGAGGTTCCTGAAACCCCAAGTGAGCTCAAGGTTCTAGATAAATCAGGACGGAATGTAAAGCTCTCCTGGAAGGCACCATACAATGGGAATTCTAACCTTACAAGATACCTCATTGAGTATAAACCTATCAAAGGAACCTGGCAGAATGATATAGATCGTGTACTGGTGGGAGGAGAAGAAACTATTGCCGGAGTATTTAGTCTCCGACCTGCAACCTCCTACCATTTCAGGATAGTTGCTCAGAATTCAATCGGATCCTCCGGACCTTCGGATACCATAACTATAGAAACCGACCAGGAAGCTCCCAGTGGACCTCCTGTTGATATTCGTCTATCCTCTGCTGATCAACACACGCTGTCGGTTAGATGGAAGCCTCCTCTCAAGGAACTATGGAACGGAGATATTCGGGGATATTATGTTGGATACAAGAAGGTAACTGCTGTTCAGGATCCCTATTTGTTCGAAACTATCGAATTCATAAAAGAACGCGGAAACGAGCATTCTTTACAAATCTCCAACCTGGAAGTCTTCACCCAGTACTCTATAGTTGTACAGGCTTTTAACAATATTGGAAATGGACCTTTGTCAGAGGAAGTTACTGAATTTACAGCTGAGGGTGCTCCTTCTCAGCCTCCAGGTGAGGTTATCCTCACCCCCCTGGCCTCTTCTACTGTCCTTGTTGAATGGTCTGCACCTCCCAAGAACACTGCTAACGGTAACATCAAGGGTTACAAGGTGATCTATGGTCCCAGTAAGACCTGGTATGACCCATCTACACATGACAGCAAGATAGTTCCTGATCTCAAGGTAGAGATCCATGGTCTCAAGAAGTTTACAAACTACAGTATGCAAGTCTTGGCTTTTACCAATGGTGGAGACGGAGTTCGTAGTCCCGAAGCTTCTGTTACTACGAAAGAAGATATCCCGGGAGCTCCACAGTCTGTTAAAGGTTTAGCCATGACAGAAAGTTCTATTCTGATCAGCTGGCAGCATCCTGAAGAACCAAACGGCAAGATCCTGGAGTATACTGTGTATATTCGTGATACAGACAGGAACAGAGATATTGCTCCTAAAAGCTACAAGGTTAATGTTGTACAAATGAGCTACCACGTGGACAATCTCAATCAGAAGACTAGATATGAATTCTGGGTGACTGCCCATACATCAATTGGAGAAGGTGCTCCCTCAGCAAAGGCTACTATTCAACCCACTTCAAGGATTCCAGCAAAAATCGCATCATTCGATGAAATCTTCACCGTTCCTGCTAACAGAGATATCAAGATGCCTTGTATTGCTGTTGGAAGCCCTGCTCCTGAAACTGTCTGGAAAGTGAATGAGGAGGATTTTGTGAAGACTGATAAAATGCGACTCCTCCCTGACGGAAGCCTCCACATCACCAACGTGAGCAAGGATGACGCTGGATCCTACAAGTGTATTGTCAACAATAAGTTTGGCCAGGATATGGTGACACACACCCTTGTTGTCAACGGACCCCCTGAACCTCCCATGGTGATCCTCACCGCCCAGACAACGGACACCATCACCTTCAAGCTCAAGTACGAGGATACTGATGATGCTACTCCTGTACATGGGTTCAAGGTCAACTATAAACCTGAGTTCGGAGACTGGGAGCAGAAGGAGATTGGTTTTGGAACGGATGAATTTACTCTTCAGAATCTCTGGTGCGGACAAAGATACCAACTTCAAGTCTCAGCGTACAACACGTAAGTTGAACCATTAGCTTTATGTACTTTTAATCAACAAGAGCTAAACCCTGACTTCTATGGAATGATGGTTGATCATTTTATTTATTTATTTATCTCTGTGTTAGTTTTAGATGATATTTGTTAATTAATTTAAATATTTAGAATTGGAATTGGTAAACCATCAGCTATTGTGAATACAAGGACCAAGGGTGTTGAACCAACAGTACCAGATGCAAGAAGGTAAGTCAGTAAACCATACAAACAAAAGGGAAGGTTGGATACAAATTAGAAATTACAGCTTATTTTAAAAATATTCTCAAAAGTGATAATACTGACTTAGGCAATATTCATCAACTTTATGGAGGGGAGAGTACTGTATTGAATTCTATACTTGGTTCTAATCTGTGACCATTTCCTTAGGTTCCTGGAGGTATCCGCAGGCAGTGTAACTCTTCACCTGAACGCCTGGCAGGACGGAGGTTGCTCCATGCTCTACTTCATGGTGGAGTACAAACCTAGATCTCACAAGGTATACTCAACCCGTCCAACCTTTAGGATTCTTCAATACGGAGATTAGATTATAAATTCATTCTAGAAAAAACTTTCCTTCAGTTTTTTGTCCGCTGTTTCCCATTTCTAATAATAAGAAAAGATGTAAAAAATAATGGGGAAAATTAAGAAAAAAAAACATTTTTTTAAAGCAGCATTTTTCTGTCTTATTATTATCCTTTATGAAACATAAATCTCTATTTCCCTTCAATGATGCATTTAAAACGACGAAAAAAAACGTATTTTAATTTTAAATATTATTAAGGACTGGACCCTTGTATCCAACAATGTGAAGCCTGGTGGAAACTTTGTAGTTTTAGATCTAAACCATGCTACATGGTATAATCTCAAGGTAATTTTTATTTTATTATTATTATTATTATTATTATTATTATTATTATTATTATTATTATTACTATTATTATTATTATGATTATTTAAATTCCAGGTTACTGCTCACAATAACGCTGGATTCTCTACTGCTGAATATGAATTTGCCACCCTAACTTCTACTGGAGGTATTTTAACCAATAAAATTATGAGATTTACCTTAAAAAAAAGTATTCTAACGTTTTCATTCTAAAAAAATGTTTGTTTGTGCCGTTAATAAAATCTATCTTTTTACACTGAAAGAAAATTAGTTTCTGAGTTAGTTTTGTTGATATTTTTAAATGGTTTTCAATATTTCCGCGTAAAGGTGAGGGGGGAGGGGTATAAAGCGGGAGGTTAACAGGTCTCCGGGGGAAGGTTAAGATGAGTGATAAAAATGAAAATTAGAAGATAAATATATAAATAAAAACTGTTTCGATAAATCTTCCCCTGGCCCCTGAGACCTGGTAAATGCTAAACTATTTAATAAAATTACTCATCTTTACCTTCTTAACGGGGGGAATATACCTGGGGAAATGTTGCAGTACAGTACAAACCGTCCACTACTTGTAACATTTCCCCAATGGTTAATTTCCCTCGTTTCAGGGACACTCGCCCCTGCTCGCGAGATCGGTGACGACCAGGTCAACCTTGCCAAGGACACTCTCATGAACTTCGTGACAAACCTCAACCTAATCGTCCCTGTAGTGGCGGCTCTCGTTGTCATTATCATCGGGATAATCGTCATCTGCGTGATTCGGACTCGACAGAACAATATGATGAAAGGTGAGTGATGAAATATATATTCTAGGCACAGTATCTCCTCCCTACGGAACAGGACCTAACTCTGAGGCAAAGTCTGGGTTTCCTGGAATCCCTGATTGGTTGGATCTAAACATGATCGTCCCCGTCAGCGCCACCGTTATCGTGGTGTGCGTGGGGATCCTTGTTGTATGCGTGGCAATGTCACGAAGGAAGGCCCCGCCCCTCATGAATCCAGGTTATATTTCCGCAATGGGATTCTAGTTCCTGGGTCCGATGTAGTTTAAAGTAGGACCTAGAAATTATAGAATAGGAAAAAACTTATCCGACTCAAATAATGCGTTAGTATAGTTTAAAAAAAATAAAACATAGACATTGTGCAGTTTTTACACAGACCAATTTCCCTTTATTAGTTTATTTTAACTATTTTCTTCACAACAACAGCAAACACACATCAGATTATTGAAATGTCGTCTTTGTATTCGCCAGTTGTATGGGTACCACTTTATGTTTAGCACTTTTTAACTGATAATATTTTCTGATGTTTCGCAGAACTGTTCCGTTTTGAGTAATAAATTGGTCCTAAAACAATGTTTTTTAGAAATTCTGGTCCTTTTCTACAGTTTTTGTAACTTTTTCATTCAATAAACCTAGTTCCTGTCTCACAGTTAAATATAACCAACCCCTATGCTTCCCTCCTTAGTTTTACTCTTATTGTTAAATTGTAATATTTAGTACAACGTATTTTTACAACGGTACAAACTATTTACAGCTTAAATTAGATGTTTATGTTTTAATTTTGGTTTCTCTAATAAAAACTCATGGGTCGGTAATGTTAGTCAAAAGGAGATATAATAAATAATCATCTAATTTTTTCTCAGAATAAATATTATTTTAGTTTTACAAAATGAAACCATTATCTGAAGAAAAAAATAATAGATAATTTATTTATGATAAATAAAATAGATGAAATAAGTAATTTTCTAATTAACTTTTCGAACTAACATAATCCAATTGTAGTTTTTTCAAAATAAAAAGTTGGCTTTATTAAAAAAAAAAATTGAATATCTAAAAGAATATTCAACATGAATCATATTTTGTTTGTAGAGGAGTATGCCCAGTTCTACGGCGCTATGAACACGATGAACGGTAGAATGGTAACTATGAGAAAGGATGGATTACCCTACGAGGATATGGGATATGTTCCCCCTCCGAACAGGTGAACTAACGAAAATTTTTTTTTTATATTTTATTCCTTTTCTTGCCTTAATACTGTTTTGGAAAAAGACTTATCCTAGGTCAAAACTTGTTTTATTTTAATCTAATTCTGTGTTTAACGTAAATTATTATTGGATAAATTTCCCGTCAACACCAAATTTAAATTTAACTTAAGGCCTTTAACTTTATGCTGTGGAATGGATCTCGAGATCAGTCTCCAGGGTGTCCCAAAAAACATGGGAATTCAGTGACGAATTCGATATCGTCTTTGTTATGAATTAGCATTGTAATACCTAATTTCAAAAGCCATAATATTATTATGTCTGCTAGAGTTTATTTAATGAAAAGGGTAAAAGACTGCAAAGATGTGTCTATAATGTCTCCGCAAGATGAACAGTGAATACGGACAAGTTTACTCTGTTTGTATACTGCAATTTTCTTGTTTTACTAAGTACAACCGGTTGCAGTCAAAACATAAACAAACAAAATGTGAACATAGCAGACGAAACTCTTACAGATTACAGCTTTCTCAGTAGGTATCACTATACTAAATCAAAGAATTGTTTAAAAAGACGATATCGAATTCGTCACTGAATTCCCATGTTTATTGGGACACCCTGTATGATGTAGCGCTAACCAATCCAAAAGTTTCAGTCTTATTCATGATTTCTCTCAGAAAATACAATGTTTTCTCTCTAATTTTGAATAAATTAGGAAACTCCCCCCTGTCCCTGGAATGAACTCGAACTACAATACTATTGATAGAATCAAGAAAGGTACAAAGTGAATATTTTTTTTGTTAAACCATCCAGATGAAGATTTTTCAGGGATTATTTTTTTTCTGTATTTAGTTAATAATGATAATTGTCTAATTCTAATTTTGTGTTTTAATTAAACTTTAAAACTACATTATATATTTCTTAGATGTTGGACATTTTAATTTGATTTTTTTTTGTTTTATCATGATTTTAAAAAACAGGCATGATTTTATTTATTTAAGTTTCATTTTTGGTTTGAATTTAGGAAAAGGTCAGGATGTGTACGCAGCCCGAGCTGCCTATAATACCTGGGATCCCAGGAAATCTCAGGGTCCAACCTATGATGAAATACCGTACGGGGATGGTCCAGGGCCCCGGGGACCTATCCCTGATGTGCCCTCGCATTATGCCCAGGTCCCCCCCGTACCTCAGAGACAGGGTGGGTAGATAAACACAAGTCTGGTTCTGGTTTTGGAATTATAGTAGTCTGGATTAAAGGGAGTGTTTGTCAAATTTTAAGAAGTATGTACAGTTAAACAATAATGAGCCATACATCGAAAGAATTTATCAAATATCGTCTTGACAATTTTTCAATGGTTTTTTACTATTTTACCTAAATCTCAGTAATTGCGAGAATAAATAAATAGCCATGAATATGCGGGAACAGTTTAAAAGAGCTCCATATAATCATTTAAAAAAACTAAATATCTGCAACATTCCATTATCAGAAAGTGAAGAATACGATATTATATGAATTCTTTCGATGTATGGCTTATTTATGGGTTAACTGTATAAGCGTATTTTCTCGATTCGATGCTGGAATTCACCATCAGCAACTAAATATTTTACCAATAAAATCAATTTAGATTTTAGAGTTCTCCATTTCAAAATTTACGAACACTCCCTTGAGCGAGTATATTTATATCTAACTAAGACGACATTCTAAGTCCTAATCACAAAATTTTACAGGTCTTAGTCTTAAATCTTTAAATCGTTTTGGAAACCTAGTGTCTTCAATGGGGTAAAGAAAACTTTTCTTTGAGAAAAATAATGGTTTTACAATGTAAGAGCTAACGATATTTCCAGTTTTAGGATTTAAACTGTTTAATTTGCTCTGTCAAGGAAACCTGGTCTCTCAAAACATTAACATTTGTTGTCCACAGAAACTAAATTGATATTAAAATTTTCACAATTAACTAATGTTTTGTGACAGAAACTTATTTTGTTTGTCTTCTAGATATAATTTACACTCCTATTGTTGAATCTATTAGAGAGATTGTTAAAGGGTTCATTTTCTTTAAAAAAAACGGCTTTGTTTTCAAAAGTAAATATTTTCTAAGTTATATCTCATATACCATTCTCAAATATCGATACATTACCATTCTCATAACTCGTTTAATATAAAAAACTAGAATTTTCTTCTAATGGTGCCGATCACTACTTAAAGGCGCAAAAAAGTGACTGATATTGTTTCATTGTAAACTTTCACAATCCTCTCTCTCTCACTCTCTCTCTAAAAGATTCAACTTTGTTTTGTGGACTAATCTTCGGTGCACTTCTTCCTACTAACATTCTTCCTTTCATTACATCCTGTTTTCTTTTTACAACAAAATTCCCTCTTCCATAAATCTTTTTACCTTCCTTCTCTCCCCTCCACTCTCTCCTTTTTCAGGGCTTTGTCGTACTTAAGTGATGGTTTAGTCTTGTTTGTAATATTTGTGAAGCTAACTCGGAGAGAAAAATTACCCGAATGAGTAAAACTCATTCGGGTAATTTTTGTTAATTTTACCGAACAAGAATATTGTAGTTAGAAAACGATGGTTTGCATGCAATAAAGTATCTTTTTGGCCAAGTCAAGAAAAGACGATACTTAAATTCAAATCTTGTTTTATGCACAATTTAAAGACAAAAATGAAAAATATTATTATTAAAACTGTTTGTAGAGAATTGTTTATATAAGATTTTTTATCAGTTTACAAACTGTTATCAACTTTGGATCAATTAAATGATATTATTATCATATTTAGTGGGACACAATACAAAAACAAGAAATATATTTTCAGATTATTTTTCATTCATTTATTCCTGTATATTTTCAGCTGGAGGATCTATACCAGGACAGGATGAAGATATATCTCCGTATGCAACCTTCCATCTCCTTGGGATGAGAGAGGAAGCTAAGAACGGTAGGTTAACCCCAACATCCCTAGGTTAACCCCACATCCCCAGGTTAACCATAACCTCCCCATGCAACCCCAGCTTTCTAGGTTAACCCCAATCTCCAGGCAACCCCAGCTTTCCAGGTTAACCCCAACCTTCCCAGGCAACCCCAGCCTCACCAGGTCAACCTCAACCTACTCAGGTCAACACCAACCTACCCTGGTCAACACCAACTTATCCAGATCAACCAAACCCAATCAGGTCCACGCCAACCTACCCAGGTTAACAGCAACATACCCAGGTCAACTCCAACATACCCAGGTCAACTTCATCCTTTCCAGGTAAATCCCAACCTACTCAGATTAATCCCAACCTCTCCAGGTCAACTCCGACCTCTCTAGGTCAACTCCAACCTCTCCAGGTCAACACCAACCTACCCAGGTCAACCCCAACCTCTCCAGGTCAATACGAGCCTACCCTGGTCAACACTCTTCAGGATTATTCATGTAACAACCTCTTAGCGGGGGAAATAGTACACTTATTTTCTAGCATATATATATGAAAGACATACGAACTATGACAGTTTAGGAAACGGGCATATGAACGGTGAGAACGGTTTTGAAAGGTTTATATGAAAGGAAAGAAATAGATTTTTTGAGAAACTTACATATTTATTTCTTCACTTTAGGTCGTAGGACAGATACATACTGGCAATATTTTACAAGTTACAAGGGTTTATATAGACTCGTTGTGTGTGCGCGCAAATATTCAAGGTTTGCAGAACAATATACAACTAATTATTTCTTTCCTTTTATTTCTTCCTTTCTTAAAAATGTTTGTATTTTTGTTTTGTTTTTGTTTTTTTTCAGACAATTATTAACCCCTTATTTTATCTTGAGTGAATAACTTTTCTGTACAAATTTCTAAAAATGTTTTCTCATAAACAGATTTTTTTCAAGTTCTGCACTGTTATGTATATTAGTTACCAAAAACGGAAACCATACATTGTTCTATGGAGAGTTATGAAAAAAATTAGTTTGTAGTAATTAAAGACATTCTTTAATGACTTATGAGAAGGTGTGCACCCCACAACTTTTTTGGGAAAACAGGATGTTTGTTAGCTCGCCATATTGAAAGGTTTAAATGAAAGGAAAGAAATAGATTTTTTGAGAAACTTATATATTTATTTCTTCACTTTAAGTCGTAGGACAGATACATACTGGCAATATTTTACAAGTTACAAGGGTTTATATAGACTCGTTGTGTGTGCGCGAATATATTTAAGGTTTGCAGAACAATGTATGTTTAAAGGGGTAAACCTCCAAGAATATGCTGATGCAGTATTTTAAAATGCTGCAGTTTATCACTAACTAAAAGAGTTTAGGAAACTGGCGTATGAACGGTGGAAACGGTTTATTACTAACTAAAATAGTTTAGGAAACGGATATATGAACGGTGGAAACGGTTTATTACTTATTAAAATAGTTTAGAAAACGGATATATGAACGATGGAAACGGTTTATTACTAACTAAAATAGTTTAGGAAACGGATATATGAACGGTGGAAACGGTTTATTACTTATTAAAATAGTTTGGGAAACGAATATATATGAACGGTGGAAACGGTTTATTACTTATTAAAATAGTTTAGGAAACGGATATATGAACGGTGGAAACGGTTTATTACTTTTTAAAATAGTTTAGGAAACGGATATATAAATGGGGGGAACGGTTTATTACTTATTGAAATAGTTCAGGAAACTGGCATATAAACGGTGGGAATGGTTTATTACTTATTTAAAGAGTTTAGGAAACTGGCGTATGAACGTTTTATTACTGACTTAAATAATTTTGGAAACAACATTTGAACGGTGGGAAGCGTTTATTACTTACTAAAATAGTTTAGGAAACAAACATATGAACATTGCACAATGGGAATTTTTGTATCACTAACTAAAAAAAATTGAGAAACGGAGATATGAACGTTGGGAACAGTTTATTACTTACTAAAATTATTTAGGAAACGGACATATGAACGGTGGAAACGGATTCCAAACGATGCCTCCAACCCCTGGAAGTGGTCCAATGACTCCCCAACATCACAGGCAACAACAACAACAGCAACAGGCGCAAACCATGCATGTAAGATCAGAAATATCCGGAATTTAAATTTAGCAAAAGTTAATTTCATTTTATCTTGCATGTTGTATGCTTTCTTTTTTCATAAAAGAGCTACAGATTGAAGAAAACGAAGGATTTAAAACATTTTATATTACAGAAAAGCTGGGTTTTTTTTCTTTGGAGTAAAATAAAACTGCAGGAGATGCGAGGTCCAAGTCATACCAGTAAATTCGACCTTATTGCTTATTGTTTCAATATAAATCATTTCTTTTATTTAATTACTAGATAATTCATTTTCATTAACAAAGAACTGACCTATTTATTATGTCATTTTACGGATTTATACATTTAAAATTTTTTAAAATCTATTTTGAAACCTGATGGCGTAAACCTTTGATATAACCTAAGATATAGGGATTAGAAAATCAGAGTTTGTGGCAAAAACTCAGTTCCTTTAAAATGAGCCTTCATTAATAAGTAAAACGAAGAGAACGAAGCAACAAACCACCAATCTATCTATCTATCTAGGCCCGGCGTAGTATGCCTATCCAGCAAGGTGGAGGAATGCAGCTTTATGACGCCCCTAACTGCGACTATGAGCCCCCTAAGAACTTCCAGCAGAACTTTGGCAACCCCTACGATTGTCCTGAAGGTTTCTACAACGGTTCCCTCATGTCCTCAGTCGGATACAGTCAGGTTATTTTTTTGATTATTATTATTTTATTATTATTATTGTTATTATTATTATTATTATTATTATTATTATTATTATTATTAAGGTTGCTGATTACTCTGGAGTGCCCGGGCAGATGATGACCCAGAGTATGCATGGTAATCTTGCAGAAATTATTGCTTTTTGTCAAAATGAAGACGACATATTAAATCATTCGTTTAATAAGTTGGGACAGGGCCGACAGAGGATTAACACTTTGAAAAAGCTATTTATGAATTTTTGTTTAGAATTTCTATATAACCATAAAATTTTAAATAAAGACATATAACGTTAATTTTTTTCTTTATATATAATTTCTCCGCACATTTTATATTTCTTGATTATTTTAGGTCAGATGCCTCCTCAGCCACACGCTGAGTACAGCACTGATACTGTTATCTACAAGGGGGGTCCCCCGCCACCCGCCAACATGAGAGGACCTCTGCCAGCCGCCGACGATGAATTCCCACCGCCGCCTCCCCTGCGAAGCGCTGATACAAGCTTGAACGACTCGAACTCGACAACCCAGAGCAACTTGACCAGCGAGTGCAGCGAGGCGGAGTGCGACAGGGAGCCGCTAGTCAGGGAATCAAAAGGTCAGAACTTAGGAGCAGACTTTTTTATATTTTTCTTAAATTTTTTTTCTTAAAAATAAAAAGGTTCATATTTGATGTAAACAACTTCAATCAAAACATTTAAGTTTAGTTATTTAAGTGCAGTTGACATCCTAATATACAGGGTGTCCCAATAAAAAAGCATGGAATTAAGTGACTACTTCTTTTTCGTCTTTGTGCCACACTTTTTCATTAACACGATTTAAAAAGTAATTAAATAAATTTAACCGACAATTGTCTTGGTCCAATATTTTTTCACCAACAAAGGAATTAAGTCTTTGCAACAAATCCCAATTTTCTAATACCTATATATCTACAACAAATTATGTAAACCTTTGATATTTCAAACTTTGATCGTTTGATATAACAGAAGTCATAGTTTGAAATATCTAAGGTATACAACATTGGGTTGTTAAGATATAGGGATTTAAAAATCAGAGTTTGTGGCAAAGACTCAATTCCATTGACGGAGATATTGAGAAATCTATTAAAGAAACTACTAAATTGTTAAAATGTTTAAACTCCCTAAACTTGAAAAATACAAAGAAAAAAAAGACTACTTTTTGGTAAGTTCATAGGACGTTCGAGTTTTTGTCTTGTCTGCTTGGGCCATTAGTTTGATTTGTTCAACTATTTTTGAAAATATAGATGCTTACTTATTTGCCGTTCGTTACAGATTTCAATATTCATTAACATTATATATATGTGTTAGGTATGGATCCCAGCAAGGAGCTGACTACGGAGGAAATGAGGAAACTGATTGAACGAAACGAAATCGTTCAAACTAACGGTCTCAAGCCATACAACACCGTTAACGTTTAAATACGTTGCCCGATATTACTGATCATAAAGGATAACACACATGTTATCACCAGCGCATTAATAAACCGAATAATGGGAAGAGAAACACCCAAAATAAGCCAAGTATCGGCAACTAATTTACTCTAAAAAAGTCTCAAAATTTAAATTTGTGAATTTAAGCTTTTGCATTTTTATTCACAGCAAAGGTGTTTTTCCATCAAAGTTCTTTTTTACCATGTAAATGTCTAGTTAAATTTAATGTTAAGGAAAACTTGAATATTGTTGTTTAACCCTTTTAATGTTATTCGCTTAACCTATTTATAAGGTGCCATATTTAAATAGTTAAAACTGGAGTTTAAATTAGAAAAGTTGTAGATTTAAACGAAGCCAGTGAAGATAGAAAAATGCTCGTCTGTATTTTCTCCTAAATCAAGAATGCATTTTTGATATTTTGACCGTTCAGAAATTGGCGAATTTTAAAGAAAACAAATGGAATCTTTCCTTTGCCCATTAAACTTTAAAAGAAATCTCTAAAAATAAGTCTCAAAAATCAAATTGAAAATGTGATGAAAAGAAATTTTAATTTTTTCATTAACGCTCTCTAAATTGATGTGTAAAAAAATGCAGCCAAAAAAGTTTTATACTTAAGAGATTTTTAATATAAAAAAATAGTTTTAAGGGAAAAATTGATATTAAGATGCGGCTCAAAGAAAAAATTAACTTCCACCATCGACAGAAGAAAAAAATATTGGTGGCAAAATAAATTTAAAAATATCAATTTTAACTGTTTTAACTTTCGAGCATAAATGTATGTATAGTGATACAAAAGGANCCCCATTGTTAATTAAATTTCAAGAAAAAACTAGTATCTATCTTTACAAAAATTGCGAGAAAAAATCTTATCAAATTAAAATATCAAATGTGTAATAATGTCTTTTCATTCAATTCTTTTCCTTGTAACTTTACCCTTTAGTGTAAACAGCAAACTTGCTGTTTAGATTTAAAACCTGTTTCTAAAACAGTTTTATTTCTCCTGCTTCCTTCAGCTTCAAGCTTATTCAAACCAGCTGCTTTTTGTTGCATTAATTATTTAATATTCACAGTTTGGTTCAGTGTTTGTTCTTAACACGTTAAAACTAGATTCTACAGTGTGTACCAACAAACATAAAATCAGATTCAATTCCATTGTTATATCAAATGTTTTTGGGACTAACTGTAGATCAGGAGTAAACACAGGGTAGTTCAGTATAATCAGTGTTAATTTCAAGACAATTATTATCATCATCTTATTATTTTTCAGAAATACTATGATTAGCATTGATTATTAATTTTATTAATTTTATTAATTCATTCTGTTATTAAATGACTTGTAATTATCAGAAACCTTTCTAATTATTGTACAGCTGTACACCCTTGTACATAATTATTCACGTGGTACATAGTGTCCTGTTTATGCAAGTAGAGTGTGTACAGCTTCTTTATGTATTTATGTACATTGTGTCTATTCCTAATTATTCTGCTTCAGTGTAATAGTAAAATAAAGTTTTTTATAAAATAATTTCTCTAGTTTTTGTGAGTTGTTAGTAAATTTTGTGCATTGTAAGCACAAAATTTAAAACAAACTTGGAAATTTATAAACAGTTTATTTTCATTTAAAATTCGGTGATGGTGATGGACCGAACCTCTGTAGAGTAAAAAAGTTGATGTTAGTTCCACATTTATTGAAAATGTATTTCGATCTGGGTTTTCCCTCGTCAGTTCTAACGATATAATAACCATCAAAATCGATAAAAAAATATAAAAAAATGTTTGTTAAAAATCACAAGGAAATAAACAAACAAAAAAGATTATTCAAAATAAAAATTTGGGCTGTCAAATGGACATAAAGGAAACGAACTCAGATTATCAGATGGAAAAAAAAGATAATTTGCAAATATTCACTTTAAAAAAAAAATTTTAAGACAATTATTATTCCTTGAGATTGTTTCTGTCACAAAGGTTAAAAACAAACTGTTTAGACGTACGTGTTTAAAGTGATGGTGGGGGGTCGAACTAATTAACGAACTTTTGCGTAAGTCGGGGGGTACGGCTTGTTTAAGGAGTGGTATTTAAACCTTTTAAAGAATTGGACATAAACAACTCTTTTTTTAAAAAGATACTGAATTACAGTTTACAATTTAATAAAAACTATTTTTTTCTGTTCATTCCTCTGAGTTCAGTCATAAAATCTCTAATGTTTACTTCAAGTAAACTTCTTCCGAGGTCCCAAACCTTCTCTAGAACGCTAACTTTTAGATGGCAGAGTTCATGTCCCGGAAGGTTAAAATGTTCTCCTGTAGGCTGGTTTGTATGGAGATTTCTAATGTAACCAATATGTTCTCTCACTCTTTCATCTAAAGATCTTGATGTCTGTCCTATATATATTGTAGTTTACACTGCTGACATGTAATACAGTAAACTACATATCTGGTCTTACAGTTGAAAGTTCCATTAATCTCAATCTTCTTGCTGGTATTAGAGGATTGTATAACTGTTCCAGGCTGTATGTAGGAAAAAGTTGGGCAATTTAAACCACAAGGTTTCATACCAGGTATTAGCCTCTTTGGCCTCATTCTAGTTTATTTTCACTTGCACACTCCTATCTAATGTCGTCTTTGAAGTAGCAGGTTTAATTCATATTTTGAGGAGAGAAAAAATCATTCTGAAAACTGATAAGGAAGAGTTTCAGTTCAGAATAAGCTTTGAATCTTCAAATTGTTCATGAATGAAAAAGGAAAACACATTATTTTTTAATAAAACGACGCTTTATTTAAAGAAAGGTAAGTTAATTTGGCAGATGAATGCATTGCTAATTCTCGTTTTTCAAATGCCAAATTTCTGGTGGTGTATTTTTCGACCTACACATATCCGCCATACTCCACTTCTGACCTACGCCAAATCCGCTATACTACACATCCGACCTACTAGCACGTGGTATATAGCTGCCATGCTATATGGACTTGTGGTCGCAGCGCCCGGCCCCCTAGCCTGTCCTAGCCGCGGCGCTCGGCCCAAGAATTGTCTTAACCTAACTTAACCCTCAAATACTACTAAATAAAACAGCTGGCGTAGGTCCAATATTGCAGTAGGTCGGAAAGTTAGTAGGTCAGAAGTTCAGTAGGGGGGATGTTGCGTATAGACGATGTAACATTACCCAAATTTCTACAGTAAATATTGGTTTATCTGGAAGACGACTTTTAAAGTTAGCCTATGAACCTGAAACGCTGATCAGACCGAATAATTTTCAATACTGTTTGAGGTCTGGTAGCATAATGTCAGCTAGTGTTAGCAGAACAATAAATCGGTTTCCAGTCTGAGCTACACGAGTTTAAAAAAGCCCGATTGAGTTTTCAAACTAGTTCTATGTAGAACCCTGATCCGATCAAGTCAAGAAACCTAAACGGTTTTAAAGACAATCAGAGGTTAAGCTTTAAAATATCCGGAGAGGTAATTTCTATTCTCCCTCTCTTTTGAACCGTATATGGCATGGTCTCCAAATTTTGTAACTTTACCAAACTGTTATAAAACATGATGTAGAAAAAAGTGAACTATCGAGATGCATAGGAAAACATATTTTGTTTAGTGGTTTTCTAATGAACATGAGAAACAGAAATTGTGCAGTGTACACAGACCAATACCATGGCACTTTGAAAACTGATTTTTAAGCATTTTCTTCTTTGAACATCATGAAATCAAATCAAATATTGGTTTTTAATTTTATGTCGTCTTCCTATTCCAAAGTTTTCTGGTTCTTACTGTAACTCATTGGTTTGTTTTTCTCTGAATTTAAAAATTTTCTTAGAAATCTTAATCTTTTTAAAAATATCTTTGTACAAAATTACATTATTTTCAAATATCTCCTTCTTTCTTTCCATCTCATCTGTCCCCTAGTGTATCACTCTTTTACTTTTCTCTCTTTAATATTTCAAACTTTTTCCCAGTATAATATGTCAAATCTGTCTCCAATTATCTCAATGTATAATATGTCAAATCTCTCTCCAATTATCTCAATGTATAATATGTCAAATCTCTCTCCAATTATCTCAATGTATAATATGTCAAATCTCTCTCCAATTATCTCCAATATATAAAATGTCAAATCTGTCTCCAATTATCTCAATGTATAATATGTCAAATCTGTCTCCAATTATCTCAATGTATAATATATCAAATCTGTCTCCAATTATCTCAATGTATAATGTATAATCTCCTTTTTTACTAAAGTTTTGTATACTCATGTAAAAAATTCTGATCTTATCTAATTCTCTTATACATTGGTGTTCTTTCCATTTTTATTTCAAAGTGTTAATTTCTTAAATCTTTTTATTTAAATTACAAATAAATTATTTCTTCATAAGAGCAGCAATACTAAATGCATGTGTTCTAACTGGTAAACTTATTGACTCCGTAGAGGTCAGAATATTAAATGTGTCTACGCGGGAAGCTGGACTTGAAGAGTCTACGCAGTCTGGTGATGGTGAATTCAACGATAGATCTGGAGACTCATCTTCATCCGAGCAAACATCAATCTCAGGTTCAGCAATATCATCAACACTCGTCATATTCTTGATCTGAGGTTCCAGAGGTTTTGTCCCGCAGGTTGGCCGACAGCCTCCGGCCTCCAGACGTTCTGCAATCTCTAATAATTGTTTAGGTTTAATGTCTGTATGGGTTAAAAGATGGGTTTTAAGATTTGATCTCTGATTAAAACATCTTTGACATATCGGACATCTATGAGGACTCTCCTCCATATGAAGTATCTTGTGTACAGCAAGAGTACGAGATTGACAAAATCCTTTCCCGCATTCCGAGCACTTAAACGGTTTCTCTTTAGAGTGAATGTATCTGTGATCTCTCAGATGATCTTGTCTTCTGAACGCTTTACCACAAATATCACAAGGATATGGTCTTTCATCAGTGTGAGTTCTCTCATGGATCAGAAGATTGTAGGATTTAGTAAACTCACGGTTACAGAACTTACAGATAAACCTTTTCTTAGGTCTTGCAGATCTCCCTGGACCCCGGAAGAGACGAGGATCGTAGGAAGGATAGAAAGAACTAGTCAGATTATTGAGATTGGTGTTAGATCCTAACCAGTGTCTCATAAGCAGAGCTTGGTTAAAGTTTGGTAGAACGGATGGAAGGGAGGAGAGTGGAGAGGATAAGGTTTGAGAACTAAGAGGACTCATCAGAGAGGGAGATGAAACTAGATTTTGTAAAGAACCGATAGAAAATCTGGGAATTCTGGATTTATCATCGTCCGAGTTTGGAGAATCTAGGGGAGGAGAGGGAGGAGTTACTGGAGATACATTTGTCGAGGTTTTAGATTGGAATCCTGAAACTATTGGAGAAAATGCAGATTTTTCTCTCTGCAGAAGCTGAGCTTGTTGAGCTAGAAGAGCTGGATAGTGGATGTGAGGGAAGAGCATGGTCGGGGAGAAGTATGGAGGAGATTGTCCTTGCTCCATCAGTCTTTGAACAGATTGTGGGGGAGACGGTGGTTGGGTTCTCGAATGAGGAGATGATATCTGGGTTCGTGAAAGGAGAGAAGGTATCTGAGATTTAACAGGAGGAGGTGGTAGCTGGCTCCTTAGAAGACGGTTTTAACTGTGTTCTGTAGGAAGGAAATGGTAGCTGGTTTTGGTATCTTGAGCTGAGTTCCATGTCCGACTGGAGAATGTATCAGGAGTAGGATGAGATGAATCTTCTCTCCTATATTCTACTGGTATTGGCCCACCGCTGTGAGTTGAGCTCTGATAAACCTCTACTGGTTGGTTTACTGGTTGAAGCCCAGTCCTTCTATTGGTTGATATCTCCTACCTAGCCGCCCACTTGTGTTTTGGTAGTGGTATAGGGTAGCAGGCTAGACTCCCGTCCATCCAGCTCCCGCCAACCTAGATTTACCGGTTCTGAGTGCCATGCGCCTCTTTAGAAATTCTGTTCTACGCGGACCTGGGGTTTGTGTGAAGTGGCGGCAGATTGTTTGGTAGTTTCAAACCACTGAAATAGCTCAGGAAGGTTGAGTTCTGAACATGGGCATATTAGGAGGCCTAACATGGGCACACAGCTAATGCTTAACTACCAGGCCTAGGCAGGCCTGTGCCTGAGTCAATGACTTTTTCATGTAAGTTTATGCAGCCCCCCCCCCTGCAGCCTCTCTTATACCTACTGCTTTGCATAATCTGTTTTTACTGCTAGGGAATGTATATTGTCAACTGAGACATAATTTATATGAATAACTTTTACTTCACTGAACACTATGAAGCCTCCGAAAATGAGGAGGGAAACGGAAAAATAAAAATACATTTAATTTTTATGGAAAGTAACTTTTCAGATTATGAATCATATTGTTTAAATTGGTTTTTGTTCAACAAGATTTTTATTTTGTTAAAGTATGGATAAATTTTACGACCCGTCCCATGCAAATCCTTTTTTCAAGTTTTTTTATAACTAATTCTAAATTCTAAAGCAAAAAAATAATGCTAAATTTCTCATAAACCCTCGATTTTTTATCAAATTGAAATGATCATCGACAGACGGTGTTTGTCGCTTTTAGTGGACAAATTTCAGTTCTGCCAATTTTAATAAAATATAAACAAAATTGAAAATACCACATAAACTCATCAACACAACGTAAATCAAATTCAAATTTTGTAAATATCGCAGCATGAGTATAAAAATTAGTATGAATTGCGAAAAAATGGTAATGGTAATGGTAATGGTAATTGGAATGGGAAAGGTCTAAACTTGTATAATATTAATCCCATCAGAAATTCGCTAATCTGCGAGTATATAGCTGGACGGATTAAGATACAGGCCTCGATTCAACTGATCATAAACCACAAAAATTGTATATGAAATCGTCAAAATTTGAAAATACGAGTCAGCTATTTTTTAGCTTTTACTTACTTCAATTTCAAAGTTTTCACTTTGGACATCGAGTCCTATTGATTAGCGCTTTCACATTCAAAAGTTGTGGCCTGTAAAATCTGGCTGGTTAAATTGTGACAGATTACGCCTGCATGATGTTTCAATAGAAAAAGGAGAGTAGTAAACTAATTGCACGGTTTATTGTCCACAATGTGTAGTATTGTAAACTTGTTGGGACTTTATTTTCTTCTAACTTGAAGCTGAAAGGGGGAGAGAGGATAGGGGGAGGGTGGATAGTGGAAGAGGGGATTTGTAAAATTTTTATGAGAAGGTTTCTCTAAATACGGTTTGGTATTGTATGGCAAGGGTTGGATGGTCGTGTAACCATTCATTCTGGGGGGGGGGGGGACCTTATCTTCTCTAGTTCTAAAGTCAGTGGGAATATCTACTTTTTGGAAATATCTAAAAAATATATTTCATAATAAGATGTTTGAGAGAAGGATTTGACTCTGAAGAACGTGTTCAGTTTTCTAATTGAATACGGAAAAAAAATCCAAATTGCGTAGATTGCCTCACTGCTGTGAACCTTGTATTGTTTAGTTGTGGAAAGATTGCTCCACTGATTGAGCACAAGTCACAAATTTCTTTATTTTTGAGTAAACCTGTCCAAGCAACCATGTTTAGTGGCTGGGTAGTCACCAGACTTTAATAGTTTAAGTATGGTAGGATGGTAGGATGGTAGGATGGTAGGATGGTAGGATGGTAGGATGGTAGGATGGTAGGATGGTAGGATGGGAGGATGGTAGGATGGTAGGATGGTAGGATGGTAGGATGGTAGGATGGTAGGATGGTAGGATGGTAGGATGGTAGGATGGTAGGATGGTAGGATGATAGGATGGTATGCAAATCTTTATCTTATTGTTTAACGAATTCTCATATATATACACCAGGGTCGGAATAGGATCAAAGTTTAGGATCAGCAACCGTTCTCAACCCTTGGAAATCTAATGTTAATTATATTTTGTTGATCCACGCCTTAAACTTGTAATCTGAATAAATCTTTTTTATTTCGTTTGCAAAATCAAACCATTTTCTATTAATAATCTTGTAAACTATTATACATATGAATATCTATATCATATTATTAAAAGATTAATTAAATGTGGCAAAATTTTTGCTGATTTATTTTTAGATCATTTGACGACCTCATTCCTTCGTCTCAATATTTACACCATAAAAAAATCGAAATTTTTTACATTTACGTTTGTATCCGCAAATAAAGACAAACAAATCTCTATGTACAGCGACGTAGTGCTCGGCCTCTTTCACCAGTAATTTACAGATTGGAAGAGTTTACATAGATTTACCTAAGATTTGTGCAGAACAAAATTAAGATAGATAGATAGATAGATAGATAGATAGATAGATAGATAGATAAAATGATATTATAGTGATGTAAACATTGTCCAGATTTGAACATGTTGAATTCATCCCAGCAATACATTTAATCCTGGAGGAGAGAATCGATTAATTACAATATTGGCACATTGTTGATTAGATAGATAGATAGATAGAACGGTAGATAGGTAGACATAACCGTAGATAGGTAGATAGACTGATAAATAAATAGATAGATAGATAGAAATAAATAGAGAGAGAGACTGGTAGAAAGATAAAAGACAGAAATATAGATAGATAGAAATATAGATAGATAGAAATAGAAAGATAGAAAGATAGATAGACAGAAAGACAGATCGAAAGATAGTGTATGTTGACCACACATGACCTGTGTGCTGAAACTATGATAGATATGTTCTCCATGGTTCCAAGGAATTCTTCACATACCCATATACCTCATCATCAAGGGCCCAGAAATACCCTTATTATAAAATTATGATAATTCCAGGAATTTCAAAAATTTCTTATTTTTAAATTATTTTATTGGAGCAGAGATCTGGTTATTGTACAGAGAAACTTTTTTATTTTTTAATAGTTTCCTGATTAGATGGTCCAGGGCTCATACTTGATTCAAGGCTGGGAAATTTCTCTGGCCTAAGTTCTCATAACTCGTGCCGCGCTTGAGGCAAAGAATCATGCGCGCGCAGCAGGGGTCAGGCGCTACGCCAGCCCGGGTCACAGGGGAGATACCGTGCATAGGTCACACGTTGGCACGGTAATAGTGTGCTGAGAAAACAGGGATATATATATCTATATAAATATTTACATTACATTTAATAAAAAAAGAAGTAGTTTACAAAAAGAAAGACAAAATGTTTTAAAAAGTTTTCCAAGAAAAAATAAGAAGATGGAATCTATTTAGATTGCATAGATCCTGGTACAGCTACAGACAGAGGAGAAAAATAGATCCTTTGAACTTCATTATTTTCAGATGGCCGGATATATTCTGGTACCCAGGTTTCCAGGTATTCAGGTATACAGGTATCCAGGTATCCAGGTATCAAGGTATCAAGGTATCAAGGTATCAAGGTATCAAGGTATCAAGGTATCAAGGTATCAAGGTATCAAGGTATCAAGGTATATAGGTATCCATGTATCCAGGTATCCAGGTCTCCTGGTATCCAGGTATCCAGGTATCCAGGTATCCAGGTATCCAGGTATCCAGGTATCCAGGTACCTGGTATCCAGGTATCCAGGGATCCAGATAGCCGGGTTTCCAGGTATCCTGGTATATCAAGGTATCAAGGTATCAAGGTATCAAGGTATATAGGTATCCAGGTATCCAGGTATCCAGGTATTCAGGTATCCAGGTATCCAGGTATCCATATACCTAGGTATCCGGGTATCCAAGTATCCAGGTATCCAGGTCTCCAGGTATCTAAATATCCAAGTATCCAGGTACCTGGTATCCAGGTATCCAAGTATCCAGGACTCCAGGTATCCAGGTATCCAGGTATCCAGGTATCCAGGTATCCAGGTATCCAGGTATCCAGGTATCCAAGTATCCAGGTATCTAAGTATTCAGGTCTCCAGGTCTCCAGGTATCCAGGTATCTAAGTATCCAATTATCCAGGTATCCAAGTATCCAGTTATCCAGGTATCCAGGTTTCCAGGTATCCAGGTATCCAGGTACCCATAAACCCAGGTATCTAAGTATCCATGTACGAATAGTCAAAGTTTGAATAGATTAATATGGTAGATATATTGATAGATATTGACATGGTAGATATATATATAGACAGATAGCAAAATTTAAAGATAGATAGATAGATAGAACCAACAAAGACTTGAGATTCCATATTTTCCTGAATAAGTGAAAGAAAAAGGAAAAAAAATCAAGATTCAAGGGAATAGATCTTTTGCTGAGGTTCCGATCTACACTCAGGCGAGATACACAAGGTTTACCGCCTTTCAATTATTCGATTACAGGGGGAATTATGCTTTAATGTCCGGCAATATGGGGAGAGGGTATGGGGGGGGGGACCGGGTAGGCCGATTTAAAGTTTGTATTCATTTAATTGCAAAAAGATTGACCACCTAGATCTTTAAGCGTAATTTTTAAGAGATTAAAGACGCAGATAATAAATTAGACAAGAAGATAATAAATTGGACAAGAAGATAATAATAAATTGGACAAGAAGATAATTATAAATTGGACAAGAAGATCATAAATTGGACAAGAAAATAATAAATTGGACAAGAAGATAATAAATTGGACAAGAAGATAATAAGAATTCAGCAAATACACATATATTAAGTTCGAGTGTTGCCATGTAAATGTATCTATGTTACCATAGCTGGCAAAACTGAAACGCTAAGAGAGATTTAACTTAATCAAAAATTGTTACATTTATTAATCTAATGATCCAGTTAAAGACACAGAAGGTCGTCGTCCATCAAATATCAGACGAGGCACTCCGGGTACCTTTTTCAGCCAGTTTGTATAGATATGTATATATTTCTTCTTCAGAAAAGGGCACACAAAGTTTTAAACCCATTTAAAGACTTCAGGAGTTTTATGTTTCATTTTAAAGTCTTCAGTATAAACTATCTTTATTTATTAGATATGTTTGCCTTTCCCGTCCGGGTCCGATTCAGACGTTTGGATGGTTATTTGATACAAACAGACAAACAAACAATCAGATAAGGGTAATATATGTAAAAATGTAGATCAGGGTTACCCAAAAAAGACTATAATTGCGACCTGAAACTTTTTAATTCTGAAGATATGAGGTTTAAACTTGCCTTTAATCTTTAATGTGGTCTGATATAATTGTGTTAAATGATTTCGCGAAAGGAGCTAAAAGTTTAAAGGTACAGAGTTTAATCAGTAAAAGGAAAAGGCTGGTTCAATTCTGTAAATTCTGAGGTCTCATCCAGTGTGGGTAACCTTCTATATACAAAGTTAGATAGATAGATAAATGAAGATGAATATATGAAGAGTCCAAAGAAATGTTTTTCTAATTGGGCAATTTGTCTGTATACAGATATAACTAATTAAAGGAGTGAAAAGTGGGAAGAGCATTTATAGATAGATAGATTGAAATGATTACCTTGTTTCTGTTTGAGGAAAAAAAATTACTGAAAAGTAAAATTTTATTTTATGTCGGGATATTATGCATTACAGGACTGTCTTTGTCACCTTTATTTCTCATTCTTGATCATTAAAGGTTCTAACGCAACATTTTTGATATTGGCAAAAACACACCATAGATGTGTCTGTAAACGTACTAAATTTCTAACAAAAAACCTTCTCTTTCTCTCTTCATTATTATTCTATTTTCTCTCTCCGGTCAAACCATTTTCTAGATTATCTTCTCTCTTCGGTAAAACCATTTTCTAGATTATCTTCTCTCTTCGGTCAAATCATTTTCTAGATTATCTTCTCTCTTCGGTCAAACCATTTTCTAGATTATCTTCTCTCTTCGATCAAACCGTTTTCTAGATTATCTTCTCTCTTCGGTCAACCCATTTTCTAGATTATATTCTCTCTTCGGTTAACCCATTTTCTTGATCATCTTTTCTCTTCGGTCAACCCATTTTCTTCATTATCTTCTCTCTTCGGTCAAACCATTTTCTAGATTATCTTCTTTCTTCGGTCAAACCATTTTCTAGATTATCTTCTCTCTTCGGTCAAACCATTTTCTTGATCATCTTTTCTCTTCGGTCAACCCATTTTCTTCATTATCTTCTCTCTTCGGTCAAACCATTTTCTAGATTATCTTCTTTCTTCGGTCAAACCATTTTCTAGATTATCTTCTCTCTTCGGTCAAACCATTTTCTAGATTATCTTCTCTCTTCGGTGAAACAATTTTCTAGATTATATTTTCCCTTCTGTCAAATATTTTCAAGATTCTATTTTCCATTAAATCATTTTCTTTATCGAATCTTTTCTAGATTCTCACTTTAACTAAATTATTTTCTAGATTATCTTCTTTTTATGTTAAACTATGTTCTAGATTTTCTTCTCTCTTCTGTCAAGTTTTTTTTTCTAGATTCTTATCTCTTCCGCTAAATCATTTTCTAAATATTTCCAATTGGACAATCTAAATCCTTTTTTATTGTAAATATATTATTTTTTTGATATTGTTCCAACCCTTCCTTAATATCATATCTCCATGGCCAATGTCCAGAGATACTCTCTTGTATATTTCTGTCTCCATGTCTAGTAACCAATTACGCTGGGGCAAATTGCAAACCCGCAATTCCCGATATTTGTAAAGATAGAGACGCTAAATCTTTAAGTTCTATTTACCTCAATACAATATAATGCTTAACCCCCCCTGGCAGAATTCACACGCAGAAATCTCATTAGTTCCTGCCCCTGGCCTAATTAGAGGGTTGGGCCTCACTTGTCAAGCAGTATTCTCTCTAGCCCTGGTTCAATCATCAGTCTGCTCGAGATAATCTCTCACTAGTCTCCAGGCCTCAAATTCAATGATTTATGAGAAAAATTTTCAATTATTTCCCCCAGGAAGCTTCTCTAAATGGCCAGAATTCTGCCTCGAGAACAGCCTTAGACTTTGTTAGAGTTAATTTTTCACAAATTGCATCATTAGGCTTGACTTTGGTGCAGCTGGAAGCAGGAAGAGGGTTGAATATGCATTATGCATGAAATATGCATTAAGCAGTAAGATATTTACATTTAAACTAATTATACAAAGCATTTATATCAGGCCCAGTCGATCAATCAATCAATATTAATCATGAAAATCATGATCATCTTTGGTTTAAAAATATTTAAAATTTAAAGAAATAATTTTTATTTTTGTTTAGAAAAATGTTTGCAGTGAGCTGTAGTATGGAGTTGTATGATGCAAGAGTATTGAACAGGAAAAGATCAATGAAGGTATTAAAGGGGAGTAGTGGATTTAAAAGACCGAATTGCAAAGACCCGATACATCATTTGCCCAAATTACATTTGCCAGAATTACATTTGCCACAATTACATTTGCACGAATTACAATCGTCCGATGCTACTTTTGCCCGGCACTACATTTGCCCGACATTCACTAAACAGTTTAAAAAGATTGAATTTTTAATAACAGAACTTATTTATTAGATAATTAGATTATTAGATGATGCGTTTATGTTCCAATTTTTCTACAAAAGTTTTATAGAAGGTATACAAATAACAATATATATTTAAATCATTAATTTGTAAATTTGTAAAATTTGTATACAGTCGTCCGAAGCCTAACCTGATAAAGTATAAAATAAAAATTACACAGATACACCAAAAACAGTTAAAGGTCATAAAAGTACTTAAAAAGTAATTTTTTTATTGTTTTTTAACTCTTTGTTTTCATTTTTTCTGTTTCTTTTTTCACCTTTTCTCTTTTTTAGCGCCATCTTTAACACTTTTAATTTTTCTTATTGATCTTATTTTAAAATCATGTAGACAAAATTTTTCTTTTTACGGATTTCAACTTGCATTATCAGTGCTTTCTTCAACCTTTTTCTCTTAATGTGTTTCTTAATCCTTTAGAATTTTACATTGTTTATCCATTTTTTGTTAAGATACCACATTTCCAAAGTTTTGATGAAAAGGGCTACATTCTAAACAATGATATTGAAAGTTTACTGTAAAGTATTATTGCAGGATACTGTAAAGAATTATGTTATGTCTGTTTCACACAAAGTATATATAATATTCACGAAAAAATAAAGTAAAAACTGTAAAAGAATAAACTCAGAGAAAAGAAATGAGAAAAGATCAAGGATTAAAAATAAAAATCAAATGATCTAAGAAAAAGAATAAAGATTAAACTAAGGAACTATTGAATAGATTGCAAAAATGGTTTAAACATGTAATGTAATGAAGAATAAATAAATTTTAGCTAAACAATACACTGTAGAATAGTAGAAAATATATTGATGAAAAAGGTTAAGCATAAACTAAGAGAGAGAAAAAATTTCATTTTAAAAAAATAAAAGATTAAAGATTAAAGAGCAAAACTGAATTAAAATTAAGTTTAAAGGCCCTCTTCAATAAACTTAAAAACCCATTAAATAAAATTAACCTTGAACAAAAAATAGTTTTGGTGAGAAGTGGGAGCGGGGATGGTGAGAAGGGGGGTGTAGGTTATATGATTTTGGTTCCCATAGAACCCCCTGATGTTTTACTCATGATTACAGTATAGAGCTCTGTACCTTCTCTATCAACCCTCGTTGAAATTGTTTATTATAAAAAATAAAGTATCGGACCCTTTTCTATTAGAAGCCTTTCAAAATTCTTCAGCAAGATAAAATATAGCAATTTATGCTAAAAATCTAAAGAATTTTTAAAATGATATTTCTATTTTAATCAATCCATTATAGCACTGACATGTCGACGTGTGGAAAATTAAATATCATTAAAAAAATGATTTAAATTTTGATTTATCGAAGTGGTTTGGGTCGTATGCTTTGGTAATAAATTATCTGGGTTGTGTTGAAGGCAGGCTTTACGGCACCCTTGCTCAGCCAAAACAACGACGGAGACAACTAAGTACCATAGACGCAACTTTTTCAGAGAAGGGGGAGCTCAACCGATGGTTTATATTTTTATACATCTCTAGACATAGGGGCAAAAATCAACACTTTCAGGCCCAAGCTATAAATAGTTAGGCTTTACAATACATGATTGACAGGACTAAACATACTGATAGACAGATAGATAAAAAAGATAGATTTGAGGGATAAAGAACTTGTTGATAGGCTAAACGAGGCTGAAAGAAGAAAGAGATAAAAGAAACTAAACAAAAAAATAGAATCTGACAAGAGCGTTAAATGTCAGGATTGAGAGGAACAAATCTTACTTCTTGGTTGAAAATCCACGAAATGTACTTAGTACCTGTCAGAACTCCACGAAATGTACTTAGTTACTGTCAGAACTCCACGAAATGTACTTAGTTACTGTCAGAACTCCACGAAATGTACTTAGTACCTGTCAGAACTCCACGAAATGTACTTAGTACCTGTCAGAACTCCACGAAATGTACTTAGTACCTGTCAGAACTCCACGAAATGTACTTAGTACCTGTCAGAACTCCACGAAATGTACTTAGTTACTGTCAGAACTCCACGAAATGTACTTAGTACCTGTCAGAACTCCACGAAATGTACTTAGTACCTGTCAGAACTCATCTTTTTACTAAACTCTATCTTTCTATCTTTTTTTGAGATTTTCTTTTTTCAATCTTTTTATTTTAGTTTCTAAGGTTCTATCAAGATATTTATCATTTCCCCGTTATCTATCTATCTATCTATCTATCTATATGTAGATTGTAGATGGTTTAATTATCCCATATAGAGATCTGATCCTACCCCCCGGAGATAAACCCACTGATACAACACTATACACGGTGTAATGTCATTAGCTAGGATCAAGATTCATACTGAGATATATTCATTACATAATATATATTCATTCATTAATTCATTTATCTAGCTACATTCATTATATAAGATATATTCATTCATTCATTCATTCATTTATCTAGATATATGCATTATATAATATATATTCATTCATTAGTTCATTTATCTAGAAATATTAATCATATAATACATATTCATTCATTCATTTATTTAGATGTATTCATCATATAAATATTCATCCTAACCATTAAACTATTTAGGTAATTTCATTAAAAACATTATACATATTCATACATTCATCCAATTATCTGGGTATATTCATTAAAAAATTCATAATATACATTGTCATTCATTCATTCGATTATCTACGCATATTCATTACGAATTCATTCATTAATTTTAATTTTAATTTTCCTATATCACCGCTATCACATTTTCTTTCATTTCTTCATTTATTTAATATTAAACATCTATTTTGATGAATATATATTCATTTATCTATCTATCTATCTATCTATCTATCCGCTGATTATAATTAATATTAAGGTTCGTGCTCTAGCTGAGAGCTACGACTGCAGATGGTGTCAGCGATCCTTCTCTAAACCATACAATCTCTATATACATGAGAGAAGCCATGCCACAGGTATATATTTATATACTTCTCTAAACCATACAATCTCTGTGAGAGAAGCCATGCCACAGGTATGTATTTATATACTTCTCTAAACCATACAATCTCTATATACATGAGAGAAGCCATGCCACAGGTATATATTTATATACTTCTCTAAACCATACAATCTCTATATACATATACAGGTGTATATATATATACTCTCCTCTAAACCATACAATCTCTATATACATATATAGGTATATATTTATATACTTCTCTAAACCATACAATCTCTATATACATATATAGGTATATATTTATATACTTCTCTAAACCATACAATCTCTATATACATATATAGGTATATATTTATATACTTCTCTAAACCATACAATCTCTATATACATATACAGGTATATATATATATTTAGATTTAGGTATACAATCTCTAATCCTGATGTATTGAAAGTTATTAAATTAAACAAAACTATATTCAAATATGTCAACACATTGATCTCTCTATAAGCTATGCAATCTCAACACCTGCTTGTATATAAAGTTATCAATCTCTAAAAACCATGTAAGAAAATTTGTACACATTGATTCTTGAAATACAATCTATTTTCCCTGGAATAAAAATAATGATTATGTATACACCTCACTCTTAAAGTTCCATAATTCGAGCTAGTACAACATGTAAGTTGTATTTACATTAACTTGTACTGTCCAGATTGTACTGTCCATATTGTACTGTCCAGATTGTACTGTCCATATTGTACTGTCCAGATTGTACTGTCCAGATTGTACTGTCCAGATTGTACTGTCCAGATTGTACTGTCCAGATTGTACTGTCCAGATTGTACTGTCCAAATTGTACTGTCCAGATTGTACTGTCCAGATTGTACTGTCCAAATTGTACTGTCCAGATTGTACTGTCCAGATTGTACTGTCCAGATTGTACTTACAAGTGCAGACTCGACCTACCACGTGTTAGGCAACAAATGTAGCCTGGTAAGATCACAGAGATAAAATTAACTTGTAGAACAATTTTCCACAGCTGGTTAAACTATAAAAAAATTATTTTTAATTGATGTTATTATTTAGGTTTGTATCATTGTGATATCTGCGGGAAAGGGTTTAGAAGCAAGGAGAATATGAAATGCCACAAGTAAGTTTTTCAAGAATTTAGTTCATAACAAATTTATTTATTAAAAACTAGGCTTTTTTGGAGTTCCTCTTCATAGTAGTAATCTTTATAAATCAGATTTTTCTAAGGCTACACTTTCTATTTCGTTGAACCATAGATTAGGTTGGTCCCTAAACAAATTGGACCGTCTTTTGTTTTTTTGGATACAAACAAACAGACAGAGATTCCATCTTTATATTTATCAAATACTAGCTTGGGAACCCATCTTTGCCTGGGAACTAAGGGTTCTCAAGCTAGTATTTATAAATATAAAGCAGGGTTCTCAAGCTAGTATTTATATATATAAAGCAGGGTTATCAAGCTAGTATTTATAAATATAAAGTAGGGTTCTCTGATTGCTTGTTTGTTTTAATGTCCAATCATACACGGGCAGCCGTAGTCCATTTGAATTTTCGAGCCAGGTCAATCTTTCCGGTCTCAGTTTGTACTGTACCGCCCGGACAGAGATGCGTTCAACACTCCCTGAACCGATTTGCTTCAAATTTTGATTGGGGAACCTCGGGAATATTCTTAGCATGGTTTAAAAATTGCAAGTTGAGTGGGTTTAGTTTTATAGGGTTTCCAAGCTAAGTATTTATATTTATATCTATTTTGTCTAGAATGATGCACACTCCACCAGTTCAGAAACAGTTGGCAGGAATCATGACAGAATGTGCTGCTTACTAATCTAATCATTTAGATCAATTATTTGATCAATTTATCGATCAATTACTCGATCAATTAATCAATGGACTTTTTTCCATTTCCTAACTTTCCCGGTGATATTAAAGGGTAAACTCGTGAAAATAAAATATGTATATTTATAATAATGCACTTTGTCCAACTTTTTTAATTCCAGCTTTTTTAAACTGATGTAAACTTAAAACCGAAGTTTAGATTTATAAAAGTAAAAACTTTGTAATGAAAAATTTAGAGTAGAATTCTTATGTGCCATATTGAATTCAATATTTTTGCCTTTTCAATTATTTAACAATTGTTTGCAAAAAAAGTGACATCTTTTTCGAATTTAAGTCGAAATATGTTTTGTCACAACTGTATTGATGGACAAATATCTTGTCCTAAATCTGTCAGAAGATTTATGTACAACTTCTGTTCTGTTTTGTGTTGTACAAAATAAGATTTATGTGTACATGAGTCAAATGTAAATAAGAAAATATATGTACTTTTTAAATATGATAATTTCTTTCAATGTAGTTACTTTTATAAAGATAAGGATAGAAAAACAGATAAAAGTAGAGATAAAGATTACAGATAATGTACACTGTACAGTGATAAACAGAAAAGAATAGAATAGGAAGTCGACCTTTACACTCAATTTTTGACTCTAATTAGTCCAATGAGCATGAGACACAGAAATTGTGCAGTATACACAGATCCATTTTAATTAATAAGTGATTAAATAACTTACTATTTGCTTCGTAACAACATCAAATGCACTTCAGATTTTAATTAATGTCGTCTTCCTATTCTACAGTTTTTAGATTATCATTGTAAATATAAAATACTTGGTGAAGGTTGAAAAGGCCAACCATTAAAAAACATAATCTTTTGCTTTTTTTTAGCAAATACAGTTTGCTTTAAACAGTTTAATAAAGAAATGAAACAGCTTGCTCTGATAATTCAAAAAAGAAACAAGATAAGTTTGCTTTAAATAGTTTAATAAAGATATGAAACAGCTTGCTCTGATAATTCAGAAGAAACAAGATAAGTTTGCTTTAAACAGTTTAATAAAGATATGAAACAGCTTGATCTGATAATTCAGAAGAAACAAGATAAGTTTGCTTTTATTAGTCAAAAATAAATCTATTAACTTATTTTCATGGATTATGAATAAAACCACAAAAGTTTTCTTCCTCCGGTCGTTTAATAAGACGTATGCCTGATTCACAACAGTACCCTTGCAATACTTATCTGATCATTAACGTGGAGATAACGTAATTTTTAGCTTTAAAAATGTTTGATTTTTGTAGAGAAACCGCAATTGAAAATAATCCGTTTTTATAACTATAAAAATAAATGTCTAATTCATTCTTGCTTATAAGGGTACCGTTGTGAATCCGATATTTTAATCTACAAATGGAGGGTCCCTTGAAATTACGTTTACAGACCCTAATATCAAACAGAATGTTTGTATATACCTGCCAAAATGAATTCGAAAAGTTTGATGTTAAAATCCCAAGATTAAACTGAATAAGATTCTTTTCATTATATGAATGCAACATATTGCGCTAGCTTACAATTGCTCAAAATAAAACTGAATAAAGGAGATGAGTTCTTGCCAAAAACTCTATTTTTTTAATCTGTGTATCTATGCAACCCGAAGTTGTAGACATTTGTTATTTCAAACTATGAATTATGTTTGATCTAATAACATAAGTTTGAAATATTAAAGGTTTACATCATCAGGTTGCAAAAATATAGGAATTAGAAAATTTAAGTTTGTTGCAAAAACTCATTTCCTTTGTTTGGCCCAGCATTTAAAATGAACATGAGCTTCGATAGAGTAGAGAGTCTTGGTTGATATGGTTGTTTTAGATACTAGTTTTTGTCGTAGATCTATTTTCCAGCACAATAATTTTGCATACATTTTAAAGGTTAACAAAGCCGTCACAGCAAAAACTGTGGCGAGTTCAAATTCGTTACAAATATTCACATTTTTTCCCCGCTACGATTTATCAACGATCATGCAACGCGTTGATGAGAATAAAAAAGATAGATATTATATAGTCCTTTAAACCTTATAAACCTGTACCATGATGTCTATGCCTTGAGAATACAGATACCTGTCAATCTACAGAGATATCCTGAACTAATATCATTGGCAAACATTTAGATACGGTTCAAACCTTAAACATATCTTTCCTTCATAGATAGTATTTGTAGGATGGTAGGATGGTAGGATGGTAGGATGGTAGGATGTCAAGATGTGTTGAGACACATAAAGACAAAAGAAAGATAGGGGGAACAGAAAACAAATTCCCCCCCTTTCTCATCCTCTACAAGATTTTTTAAAAATATTTTATTTCTTAAAACCAACGCAAATAAAAAATTGTTATTTAAAAACGAAATCCCCCCCCCCCCTGGAGTTTACCACCCTGCAGAATGGGTGAGGATGGATAAAGATAAAGGTTTGGTTCCAACCATTCATCCAAGGGTCGGGTGGTCGAAACTATCAAACAGACAAACAGACAGACAAACAAACAAATAAACATTTCGAGACAGTTAACAAGACAACCGTTAAGAAAGGCGCGGGGTATAAATAGAAGAGTGAAATGAAAACGTATTTTTACAAACCGTAGAAATAATCCTTAGTTTTGTTTTTCAAACCACTTATAAAATATAGGTTATATTGAATTAAAAGTTTTTGGACAAAAAGAAAATATTAATAAGAATTTTTTTTTAATAACGTTTTTGGGTATCGTTGGGGACGTCAGTAGTTTTATTTTAAAATATTTTAATCTGTAGGAGATTATAATACTTACCAAAATGGTAAAAGTTTGCTTTTATTACATTTAATAAAATGTTTGTCCTGAAAAACAAATAGTTTTGCTTCGTTTTCAGGTTCATATCCTCTTTCAGAGTGAATATTTTATATTTTTAGATATCTGAGATTTTACATGGATCATGCACAAGTCCCTGCCAACAAACATTTGCGAACTATGTAACATCTAAAAATGTATGCTATTTAATGCTAACAATATAAAGTGATAAACCTTTCTTCTCAAACTCAAAATATTTTTTAGCATACTTATTACTTAACATAAATGTTTTCTGAATTATTAAGGAAAAGGTAGACCATATATATACATATCACCTTCAACTAAGTTCTGCAGTAATTTTCAGAACACTGACCAAAGATGTAGTATAGCTTAGTGGAGAGTGATATGAACGTATATGCATGGTAGTACACTAAATAAGCACCTAGCAGTTAATTAAGTACATTGCTCCAATCGTTATATGATTTAAACCGGTACAAGGATTGACCGGTCTATTGTAGTTGTATTGTACTGTTTATGCATTCACTCCTACCGACCAGTCAAGACTACCCAGTGTAAAGACTACATAGTACGTTGTATGCAACAAATGTAGACTGGCAAGTTCTATGTCACTTCTTGCCGGGCCAGGCTACATTGTTGCATAATAGCCTGACCTGACTGCAGTACACTCTAGTATGCCGAGCCCATTAGCATCTGATCCAATCAGGGTTCAGCCACGTATTTGGTGTCTATTTTGAACCAATAGAAATTGCAGAAAATGCATATACAGTACACGTTGTATGTACCGGCACGGATTATGCAACTTTTAGAGTGGGGTGGTATATAGTGGTATGCGTTCTGCAGTAAATTGCAGCACACTGACCGAAGATATATGTAGCGTTTAGAGGAGATCGAGTGTATAATAATACATTTTATCTGTTTGATGTAAACAATTCTTGTATCTCACCAAGTATATGCTGATATCCTAACCCGGCCATATCATCCATCTTTCTTCAAGATTCTTCATTAAACTTAGGAATTTGAGTATGACGAATATTGCCAATATCTCACAATAGATGACCATAAGTCTCTTCTACATCACGTGATATCAATCCTCCAATTAGATCAACTCAATCAGAAGCTATCCAATGAGAAAACGCGCCGCCATTATCGACCAATAGTATTGAAGCAAGGGCAAAATTCTATCCAATAAGAGCCAAGTATACCAGCTACTGTTTGATTCTCACGTTATGGGTCTCGTATTGGGTCCCAAATTTGGATGATAAATGTTTGGAATTCGACCGATGCGAGGGGGGATATACGTCAAAATTTAATTTTAATAATATTAAATTTTTTTTTAAAAGTGACTAACGCATTTCTACATCAAGAAAACTTTTATAAAGAAGTTATAAAATTATAACATCCTTCAGATTATTGATCAGATAGAGGTTTCAAGGCTAAATTGACATCTTTGTATAGAGGGTCCCTTACTATGACGCGAACAGTTCTTTTACTAATTAAATTTTACACAAAATCATATGTAAATTCTTTGATTGGAATTATTTTAAAATATTTTATAATTACACCATATTTGTATTCATTTATACTTCAATCTCTTTGCTGTGGAAAGGGACTGTAAGTGTGGTTGGCCTTTCATTTAAACAGGGACTTACCCGATTCACAATGGTACCCTTTGAGTTGGGGGGGGAGGGAGTTCAAACGTACTGTTTGAACTCAGATAAATTCATATTTTTTTATGAAAAATTCTATGTTTAACACAGTGTTAAAAAAATTTGAATATTAAATACTTAAATTCTGACACTTTTAGAAATTAAATATTAATAATCGATCCTAAAGCATAAAACATGTCAGCTGGCAAACAAAGTGTTCATGACAATTGAAAGCGTTTCTGTGGTATAAATGAGGAAAGGACTGTCATCCTTTATTAATAAAATATTTATAGGGTTCGTTCACCATAGTTTGAGTAGAATTAAATATTTCCATTTACTGATAGAGCCGATATAAGGATTCATAACTCTGATTGGATAATAAGATAGATAGAAAGATAGATGTTACCGCCATACTATTTCTATTTGTTCAGAATAGACAACAAACACATGACTGAACCCTGATTGGATCAGGTGCTAATGGACGCGGCATACAAGAGTGCGTTGTGAATTGAAATTACGCTTACAGTCCCTTTTGAAGTCGTACTATGGAAATTCTGTTTCAGTTAAAACTCTTTCATGTTCCTGGAAGAATAAAATCTATAAAATTGTTTTGTTTTGAAATATAAATTTGATCAGGAAAGCAGGATCTGTTGCTTGAGGGGATGAGACTTTAAGAAGAAAAGAGAAAAAGAAAAAGATCAAACAAAGTAGATTTAACAAGTTTAGATTTTAATCTCAGATAAACTTGCTTTTATACTAAATAAAAGAACGTTAACAAATGATTACACTGTACAGTGAAAGAGATACAATTTACAGTGAATGCATATGTACAAAGGAAGTGTTCATTACATTGCATGTATGTTATAAAATCTTACTGTACAGATACATATGATTAATGATTATGCAATGCAGTGTAGAATAAAAATTAAACTGTATATCTAAATGGAGTGTATAAGAATAAAAATTGCACTGTATATTAGAGCGTAAAAGAGTAAAGATTACACTTTATATTTGAGTGTAAAAGAAT